ATATAAAAATTATTTAATATAAATTATACCAAGTGAAAAAAGATTATTCAGACAAAATTTAAATTTAATAAACCATTCTAATATAAATCTTAAAATTTTAAAAATATTTCATTAAATCTTTTTTAATTTAATTTATTTTAATTTAATTTAATATAATTTAATATAATATTTATTCCACATGATAATAATAATAATAATAATAATAATAATAATAATAATAATAATAATAATAATAATAATAATAATAATAATAATAATAATAATAATAATAATAATAATATTAAATCTTTATATTAAATCTTATTTTACTATTATTATTATTATTTTAAATAATTATTAAATTAACTTTAAATAAAATTATATATTCTAAAAGTCTTTATTTTAAAATATTTAATTATTAATTTTTAAAATTTATTTATCATAATATTCAAAATTTTATTGAAATTTTAACTAATTTAAAAACTTAAATTGATCTTTTTTTTAAAAAAAATATTATCTTTTTTATCTTTTTTTTTTTCTGATTTTTGATTTTTGATTTTTGCTTTTTGTTTTTTCGTTTAATGGATAATATTCTCTGAAATCATGCTGTACTTAAATCACACTAGACTTTGGCGATGTGATGATGCTAACTCAATTTGGATAAGGATTAGGATACAATATTCAGCTATACCATAAGCATGAATCTTCCTGGTAATGTCAGCGTATGCATTTTTCAGAGTATTTAATCTCCTAAAAACACCACTTGAAAATGTTCATTGCTGGTGTAGTTCGGTTTCAGACAATATAATGGATATTTCAACCCTTTCAAAAAGTATCCTTAGCGTTGCGCTTACCAGCAACATTACAACATCCATAGCTACGAACTTTACATACGACCTCCAACCATTGCTCTCATCGTCTGCAGAAATCTACTATCCTGGTTCGGAAGGGTATATAAATGCCACCACGAGATGGGATGCCTATACTAAACCAGGGCTTGATGTTGTTGTGAAGGTTGCATGTGAGGAAGATGTACAGGAGACAGTATGTTCATTTCCATTTCGATGGATCTATTATCTGCCGACTCGATTCATGTATTGATGGCCCGGTGAATAATTAGTTATTAATTATACATTTTCCCCATCTAGATTCGCTATGCAAATTCACATTCTGTGCCGTTCCTAGCCATTTCAGGCGGCCATGCTACTTCCAGCACGCTTTTGGAAATCAAATCTGGCATCGGTATTTATCTCCGCGGCCTTTCGGGTGTTTCTATCTCCCCCACCGATAAATCTCAGGCCCTTATCCTCGGCGGAACTCTATCAGGCGAGGTGATCTCCGAGCTTTGGGACCTTGGGAAACAAACTGCAACTGGCGCGTGCGATTGCGTCGGTTTCATATCGCCAGTGCTGGGTGGTGGTCATGGATGGTTGGAAGGCCGATACGGACTCATGGCTGACAATCTCATATCCGCGCGAGTTGTTCTAGCGAATGGAACAGCCGTCACGGTTGACAATACCCAGCATTCGGATCTCTTCTGGGGTCTTAGGGGCGCAGGGCATAATTTTGGAATCGTCACATCGATATATTATCAAATCTATGATCGAACCCCTGACATTGATAGTTTTGCAACTGCGACGTTCACATTCACGCAGGATAGACTAGAAGAGGTCTTCAGCATCGCAAACCAGTGGCTCGCTGCAAAATATCGTCCAGTTGAACTCATGTATATGGGACTCATAGCTTTCGATCCGATCGTTGATTCAAAGCCCATAGTACAATTTCAATTACGCTGGCAAGGAGCTGACAACATTCCAGACGAGTATACGGATCCGCTTAATGCACTTAATCCAGTCAGCGTCATCCAGTCACACATCAGTCTTCTGAATATCAACGCATTGACAGGTGCATCCCCCTCGGGCCCAGCGTGTGTAGACGAAATTGGACGGCAACTTTTTCCCACCGATTTAGATTCCTGGAATGTCGCTAGCCTACGTGCCGTCTTAGACATATTCTCTACTTTTCCCGCCTCATTTAGCAATTCCCTGATGCTCCTTGAAGGATATGCCACAAATCGTGTTCTTGAGATTCCCTCAGACAGCACGGCATACGCGTTACGCTCCAAACAACTGCTTGCCGCGCCGTTCTTTACTTATCCACCTAATGATGAAACCTTGCAGCGTGATATGATCAAACTTGGGAAGCAGATAAGAAATGTGATGTTGAATGGTACTGGGGAAAAGCTGCATGCATATGTGAATTATGCGACTGGTGATGAAAGTCAGGAGGCTCTTTACGGGTATGAACCGTGGCGCTTAGAGAGATTGAGAAAATTGAAAAAAGAATATGATCCTTTGGGAAGGTTTAACTTTTTTGGACCGATTAAAATGTAGTGCAAAGGCACCTTCTTTCCCTTTAGCAAGCGCGTCGTCGAGGTTTCAATCCTCTCTTTGGAAGATCACTACTTTGCCAGTATGGCCCCTACATATCTTTAGTAGATACCAATCAAGCTACGTTGTTATTGTGTTTTTGGAGCCGTTTTCTTCCATGTTCAAGGGTCTTTGACCATCCTATCTGGGAATGATTCAATGTCATCGTCGTTCTATGCTAAAACCTCGACTGCGGAGGTGATGTAACTATCGGGTAAAAGAAATCAACTTCGGGGGCTCTCCACTGCTACATGATGATTTAATGAATCGCGTGGCTTTGTGCCGGCGGTGGTTCATTCAGATTCCTGCCCCACCACTTTTGATGGTAGCACAGGGGCATGCCATGGTGTCAATCATTAAATATACAATGCTGAATGGAATATTGAGTACTTTATAATAATATTAAATGCATATTCATCAATATGTTCTCAGCGCAACGACATTATAATTTAAACAAGATCGTATTCTTCTTGCGGTCACATCATTGCTGTATTCCATTCCAAGAGCTGTCATATTAGTCACGGGCAACAATTTCCGGATTTATTCTCAGTACTATTTGACATACCATCAAATCTTAGCAGTGGGAAATATGATTCATCATTGACGTAACCAGAATGTTCTGCGAGGGGCTCAGTACCTTGAAACCAAGTAGAAAGAGATGCAACACACCTCAACTAACTTGTTGTTGCAGAGATTGATGGTACGGGATACTATGACCGAGTTGACAAACTGGAAATCGGAGATATTCTAAGCACCTGTGTAGACACCGGTGAGTAGATCGCAAAGACAAGGTCCCCAGGAACCTCCACTTCAAATGATCCAACTTTAGGATAATGATCTGAACGAAAGGATTCGAGACACATACCTGAAACTGATCAGCTTTGACGCATTGTCACGTCTAACGCACATAGTTAGACACTCAGTGCTACCACAGATTTAAGACATTAGGTTCTCAGGCGGAGGACAGCTTTCGCCAACTACGCCAGACTACCAATCAACTGCAGCACTGCAAGGGCTATGCATCCAGGCCATTCGTCGCAGATGGCAATTGAGGAAGTCAAAATGTGAATGTGCCGCGCCGAGAAGCACAAAAGTCACGAAATCCTTTGGCCTACCGCCTTTGTTAGTGAACGACGTGGAAATGAAATATTTTCGCTTCCCCGCGATGCTTAGAGTTTCAGACTAAGGGGCAGGTATGAGTATCCCTGCACTGCTCTTAACAGCAAAGCCGAAAAGTGCGGCTTCTTTAGATCCCTAACAACTTTGTTGAAATCGATCAAGCATTATCAACCTCTGAGCTGATCCTGCAGAGACACTGCCAAATTCTATGGAAAGATTGGGGTTGCCAGGATGCCACGGCTACTGACGAAAAGACAATTTGGTTTCAAATTGGACATCATCCAATTCGCTTAAAGGTTCAATACGGTTTAAGCCGGCTCTGATCCATTCATTCCATTCATCTTCCATGGCAAAGGTTGTTGATCGGTGAAAACCCTTAGAGTCTTCACAATTTTCATCTGTCAAATAACACAATTGCAGTGGTCACATGGGAATATTATGACGGCGACAACTTGCCTCTTGCCCGGTGAGTGCTTTGTTATTTTATGATATAGACAAGTCTCGCAAGACGCTTCGAATCTGGTGCTATTGATTGTCGAAGCGAATGTCAAACAGTGATCGTAGAGATGAAGACATGTGTTCACACAGAACATGAAGATCTACTATATATAAATACAAGAGAACTACGGAAACAAAACTATTTCCGTATTAATCAAGGGAGACACGGAAAAGATAAAGCAACACAAAATTCAACAATATGCCTGAAATCTAGTCTATATCCCGAAAGGATTCTTCACGCCGAGTTTTATGGCATTTTCGAATTCAGAGCTCCTGAAGAGAGAACAAATAGATCCATTTAACCCCTTCCACCCTCGAACTCCACGGAGGGCTGTGCTGATTATTTAATATCAAAGCCTACGGTTGCAGGAATGCTCCTATATAGTTTCCAACCTGGAACACGCACGAAAGGGAATTAATCTCGCAACCAAATTGAGGCAAATCGAGGCATTATCCGGTGGAACTTGGCCAATCATGGAATCCAATCAAGTAGATTCAAGAAGGCCATCATCAAATTCATTTCTAGATTTGAATCGACCTCGCGTTAGACCTTCATTTGTAAAGGGCGCCCAGAAGACTTGGTGCTTATAAGAGCGAAGGGAAACAAAAGTCAAATATTTATAATTAATATAGAATAACTCCACTAGCACTCGCTAACGTGGTTTATCAGTAACCAGAACATATCAGTAACCGGAACACTTTTACCTCAATTACTCACATTCCATTAAAATAAAATTATAATAACATCATAAATTAGGATTAAATTATATACAATCTAAAGATCAATTAATGCTAGATCTAATTGATAAATTCGTATAACGTGGTTTATCAGCGAGTCGCCACTTTTTTAATATCTATTGTTACAAGGAATGACCTTACACAGGGAATAGTGGGAAGCTGATAGGCCAGAACTGAGGTAATATTGGTCTAGTAAGTTAATCACTCTTCTAAGTTCTACGGAAGTGCGAAGCTCTCTTACAGAGAGCTTCTCAATCTAGTCCTAATAGGACTAGTGCCCTGTGCATGTGCTACGCAGGAACCATTCACTTTAACAGAAAACCATATACTTTGAAAGGCAAATGAGATATTAAGTAAATATTGATATACAGAAAAGACTTAATTATATCAAAAAGAAATACTTACTGAATAAAAAGCTACAGATATATTATCTCAACAAAAGGTTGATATTCAGATTCAATGTGATAAGCGTCAAAATGGGGGAAATTCTAATAGGGAATCATCTACTAGTCGATGCTGTAGTAAGTGTGGAAAGACTGGTTATAATTCAAGAACTTGTCAAAATAGTATAATAGATCCTAGATTATTAGATTCTTAATAGTTTTAATTGATTGATTTAATGATTGTTGAATGATATGAGTTAGAAAGTGCAAATTGAGGTAAAAGTGGTGCACTCGGTGTTAAACCACTTTAATCAAAAGTTAGATCGGATAAAAAGAATCCTACTCCGTATAATTGGACCATCTTCATTTTTGAATTTGATACTAAGCTAATCCCAAAAATAGGTAAGCTTTCTATTGATCTTCCAAACCTTATTTCGAAATAGACTTAGGTGGGTATGAAGTTGTTGAGTTTATACGGTATATACATCGACCTATATATATCCTCTTCCCTCTATGCTATTGGCGCCACTTTCAAGCCACCCCCACCATAATTTCGAGGTAGAGAGGAAAGGGGAAAGGCGAGAGACCAAGTTATCCCGCATACGGAAATATTCTAAAGTATTACTTGGAATTGCATACTTTACAACTGTCAGGTAAAGTGGAGCGATGCAGCGATGGAACGATTTATGGTTTGTATAGAGCCTAGGCGATAAAGCTAGGTAAGGAATGATGTGCTCAGTTAACATTTGGGTTTTGACAGATTTCGATTCCAACGATTCAAACATTTCATTTCATTTCATTACACTGCCCTACACCTTTGCTACCCTTTAGCACATACATATCATAGTCTAATCATGGAAGGCATTGACGAGGTTGAGAATGAAGCTAAAATGTTGAAAGGAGAGCTTTATTATGCGTTTGTGCCAAAGCTCGTCGAAAAGCGGAATAGGTGGGGGACAACGTGAATTTAATTACCCGCATCTACTCTATCCACTAAACATTTCCTCCTCGCGACTACCGCTAATACTTGTCCTTCTATAAGATGTCATTTTGCTTGCAAAAAATTCAACAGTGCAGGTGATGCCTCAAGACGGAAGCTGGTAGAGATGTGGAAAGAGTAAGCATCTGCTTCTAGTTGGGTGGCGGTCCAAAGCCTAACATCTGGCAGCATCATCGACGACAAAACTCCGCTTCCTCCAGCTGGGGCAACGGACGAGGAAGACTTCCGTATCCTAGGAGATGAACCATATATTGATGGTCCAATCAACGTAGACTATGGAATAAATCTCAGGTATCTCGCAAACAGTAAGCCACATTTGGGAAAATGCTCATCTTTTACAGGCTCGGCAAAGGAGTTTACATCAACTTCAATTGCGTATTTCTCGACACCTGTCTGATCACAATAGGAGCTCGTACTCTGATCGGTCCAAGCTGTTCGTTCTACGCTGCCACGCATCCATTAGACCCTTTCGTTCGTGATGGTACCAATGGCCCAGAGCTTGGGGCGCCCATAACCGTTGGCGAAGACTGTGTACGTATACTGACAACATTTGACTGGATACCCACATCTTTATCAATTATCCCCTATCTCCTAATCGCTTGGTACGTATCATGAACGCTAACACTCTCCCAGTGGTTTGGAGGTAGCGTCACAGTGTGCCCAGGAGTAACCATCGGTCGAGGTTGTACCATCGGTGCTGGAAGTGTCGTGACAAAAGATGTTCCGGATTTCCACGTTGCAGCCGGTAATCCAGCAAGGATAATCAGAAAAATAGAGCCAAAAGGACTAAATCCAAATTAGAAGTCCTGAAAGCTCAGACATGGATGCCAGCCCAAATCAATCCTACTTTATACTCCAGATGATATATGCATCAGTAGCAAGTGATAGCTCATAGACCACCTTGTATTGAGAATGAAGATAATATCAAAACCAAGACGTTGATCAATGACCATATAAACGGAATCCATGTTGACATCTGGAAGTATCCTGCATTGTAAATAGCACCGAGTCTAGGAACAAACAAACTTAGCAAACGAAGAGGTCCTATGATACCATGGCAAGAACACCCACATCAAGCCAACCAAGCTTCCTGCCAACAATGCTTCGATACCAGCTACTAAAGCGTATATCAGTGGTATAACCCAAACATATTGCCAGGCATTTTTTCCCTTTCCTAATTGCATTGCAGTAGCATAAACTGCTACTGCCATGTGCGTAACTCCGTACACAATGAGCGTCCACAGAAGAGTGAATCGCCATATGTCATGAGCATAGTATAAATAATTTGGAATACCAGGGTTTGCATGGAGAGGCCAATAAAGTGATGGGAATGGCGGAGTAGAATAGTCGAGAGGCGCCGGGTTTTCAATTCGAGTGCTGAAAGAGTGTGAAATTAGCATATGGTTGTCTCCAGGGGTTCGATGGGACTTACTTGAGAGCTGGCATGTTTTATTGAAGTGAAAAGTTCATAGTATAAGAAAATATATGTATGAATTTCGTTGATTGAAAATCGGGAGTAGTATAGGATTGCAATGTAGTATTGCAATGCGACAATGCAGTGTCACTTCGGATGCTTCAGGGAAAGTTCGAAGCCTGTGAGTCGGCTTTTATTTGGCGCGCAATACCTGACACAAGGCTGAAATGCCTCGGTTGTGTACCTTCAAGCCATCCACCATTAAACACATCAGCCATCAGCCATCACAAATCCACTACTACGAAAGTATAATATCAAATCAAATATCAAAACGCATACCACTATGAAGTAACTCTCCGTCTGGAATTAGTGAAGCAATACAAGATGTCGGTAGATAGACTTCTTACGACTGTGTTACGCGCATACCAAGGCGTCCCTGATCCTGAACAAACGGACAGAATCCTGGGGACAACTACCTCCTTACTTACCACTCTTACGAATCCCTTGAACATAAGTCTTCTTACGTCGCATCTTCTTACCGCACCTGCTATATGGAATAATAATGATGGTCTGCGAATTTCTCTCCGGATTATTAGCGTCTTCAACACTGCTGCCATTACTGTGCGCAAGAATGAATTAGAAAGTCACAACGAGCAGCCACCGTATGATGCATATCAACCTCGGAAAGGAGGCGGAATCGGTTCTGATGATTGGGCTCGAGCTGTGATCAAAGGGGCCGATGATAGATCGCCAAGATGGCAGCATCTTCTTGTGATTGCCGGCGTGTTGCTAGGTATGGAAAATGGAGGGAGGCATGGGCTCTCTACTGGAATTAGAAGCACACTTGAACGAGCATTAGTTACGGCGGCCAACTTGGCATTGGAGAACCCAACGAGAGATGGAATCGTCGCTGCGGAATCTATCGTATTAGCTCTCAACCATGCATTTCCCCTATTGTCAGATGGAGTGCGTACTGGTTTGAATTATGATAGCTTGGTTATGATAATGGTAAGAACGGTGACTGCAATGGAGGGCTACCAGGATGGCATATTCTTACCATATATTGATGCGGATATCAAACAAGTACCGGGAGATAAGTTCGATTGGTCGTCCAAATCCGCATCTTTTTTGCAACTACAAAAGCAAGCATCGAGCCCAATACTTTCATCCATGGGTCCGCTATCAAGACTGATTGCGCATGCAATTGAGAATATGAGCAACTCTCTACTCGCAACAGAAATCAGAGAGCACGTCCTTTCGTTCTCCGGTAGACTTCTAGAAGGCTGGAAGGGGAACAAATTGTCGGAGATTGATCTATCTGAGGAAGCAATGTTTCTGACTCCGGAAAGTCTTCAAATAACTACACCAGTTTTGTGGCAGGTATTGAAGAGCGCCATGTTCGCTACGGTAGTCATTTTGCAAGGCCTTATGGCGAGAACTATGGTCGACCCTGTCTTGTCGACAAAACGTCTTGCTCCAATAGCAGCTTCGGAAACGCTCATCATTCTTGGAAACATTCACTTTATTTCGTCCCGACTTGGCTCTAACTCTTTTTCTGCATACGTGTTCGTCAATTTATCATCTATCGACATCCTATCCAATTACCCTCTCGAGTCAAGAGAGCTTCTCAAAGCAATATACCCCGTACAAGCTGGAGAGATCCCAGCTAGTCCTTTGCAGCGCAATCACGATCTATTCTATCTTAATACTTGCGAGCATTTAACCAATATTCTTAGCCCGCCTGACAACGAAAGCCTGATTATTGGCGTGGCAGCTCCTTATCTCAGTCCAACAGCGCATCCTGGCTTCTTGGAAATCTTCGAAGCTGCCCATAGTGCTGTTCTTGCAGTACTTTCAGCTCCTCAAAACACAAAGCTAACCGCCAGATTCATCCCTATTTACGTTAATGCTCTATTTAATTCGTTCCCCAACAACTTGTCTCCAAGGCAATTCCGTTTTGCTTTTAAATCTTTAATACACATCGCCACCCCACCTACGCCTCTTTCAACTGCCGAGCCAATGCTAGCGGAAACTCTTCTAGAAATGCTCCATTACCGTGCAGTTCATGCGCCTAGATCACCATTACCTCAATCAGTATATATGAGAGATACTGCCAGTCAGCAAGATAGCCAGGCGTCACTCTCTGAACAGGCGATCCTTATGCTCACACTATTGGATGCATTGCCTAATCTCCCGCTCGATGTTTTACAAGCTTGGTTACCAATATCCGCTGATCTTCTAAATGCAATTGAAGATAATTACATGCGAGAGCGATGTAAAACAAGATTCTGGGAAGTGCTAGAGAGCGGGGAAATGGACGTGGAGAGAAGCGCAGTATGTGTTGGGTGGTGGAGTATACGAGGGGGTAGAGAACAGATACTGTTTGGAAGGGAAACCCAAAGTATTGAGCCTTATATGAGTGGAGGATTGGGGGAAACAAAAAGTAGATTGTGATAATGGTAGACAGTAGACGAGAGGGCGGAAAAATTTGATGAGATGATGTGAAGATTTATGAGGCGATGGGAATTCCAATGGGACGGTACTAACTGGCGAATGGAGGCGAGAGTAATATTTTATACAAGAGGAATACTCGTAGAACGGATTAATTAAATTCCTCCCATTTAAGCTTTACATTTGTTAGCTCTATCAATATTCAATATTTCTTTTGATCGTGAGCCAGTACTGTCGAAAGCTCTCTTAGCACTGATGGCAATGAAATGAAGGGGTTAGCCGAGTGATATTCACAACATCCGCTTCTAGTAAATCAGATTCTCTACCTTCGCTCTCCAATGAAAACAATCACTATCAATTTTCCACGAGTGAAATATCTCACAAGTACATTTCACATGTGATTGTTCCCGACGTTACACTTCAGTTGGTAAAATGACGTAGGAATTATGTATGCTGCTTTCATGCACGGTAGATCTTTCTCTTGCATAAATTAATGTTTGCGCGCTTATGCATAGATAACCAAGATGGTGATGCATCGTTATTTTCCGGGCACAAAGGGATTGTGTGATGACGAGTTTGCGAATAACGCCCGGAAGTTTTGTTATCACGAGTAGAAGAGTTTGCTTGACATGGAATATCTTCAAGTAAGAACTTAGCTTATCAAACAGAGGTGTAGTGGAAAAATTATAGCGTAAATGTAACGTTATGTGTAAATTCGAATAGTCATTAAATCATATCTGCTAAATCAACAAGCAACTATCATACAATATCTAAGATCAATCATCAATTGCTCCATCCTGCCGCCCAAATTCCCAGTAAATTAGTAATTGTCATTCCCAGCAGCGGCACGCTTCTCCGCGCCTTTCTGAACCAAACTCTCCTTATGTAGCATGCCTCCTGCCTTTTCCATTATCTTGCCCATGGTAGAATCGCCAGATTTGCCAGTGTTATTAGAGCTAGTATTGTCATAGCCACTCGAACCAGTGTTACCAGAGGAGTATTGATCATCTGAGCCATAAGTGTTACCAGATCTGGCTTTGTTGGTCTCGTAGGAGTCAGTGTTTCCACCGATGCCGCTGGATGTGTCTCGGTAACCAGAAGTCTTGTCACTAAAGCCTGAAGAGGTGTTATCACCGTAGCCTGAAGAAGTGTTGTCACCATATCCGGAAGAGGTATTGTCTCCAAAGCCTGAAGAGGTATTATCTCCATAACCTGAAGAGGTTTTATCACCATACCCGGAAGAGGTATTGTCTCCATAGCCGGAGCCAGTGGCTCCACCTATTCCCGAGTCTCCGAGCCCGGATGAGGTGGTATCACCGTAGCCAGAACGGGAGGTCGACGTGTTGTCGAAGCCAGAGGAAGTGTTTCCACCTAATCCAGAACCAGCGTTTCCCCCATAGCTTCGATCACTGCTACCAGTTCCAAAGTTATTACGCTCGTCACCGAGATCTCCTCCATACTTTGAGTTGCTTGAGCCAAACTCATTATCTCTCAATCCTCCCTACTTCCTGTTAGTTACACTAAAAAAAAAAAAAAACAATGTACGTGTAGTGTAACTCACGGAGTTTCCGGTATTAAAGCCACGGCTCTCTTGAGTGGAGGATCCTCCGTATGCTGAAGATTCCTGGTCATCGAATGTCGAACCTGTCCCGGTAAGACCTCTGGTATCAGTAGTGTCACTGCGACTTCCATTTCCGAAACCAGCGGTGGTGTTGGCGAAAGAGTCATCGGCACTGGAAGGAGCTCCTTGGCGACCAGTAGAGTTGTAGCTAGCGTCGTTGTTATATGTAGACATGTTTGAGTTATTTTTGATAATTGATTGGTTTTGTATGAAAGTTTTATGCGAGAAGTAGCTTTGAGATTGAATGTGTTTATTGTATGGATTAAAAAAAACACGAGGAGCATAGTACTGTTATTTATAACATTTCATCAATGAAGTACGACCTTATGATATGATGCAATAAGGGTAGTTTTGGAAGATTTCTGGTACTTACCAAGAAAGACCCTGCCGGAGCTTGGAAGAGTTGGCACATGGCAGACCCCAACTAGAGAGAGTAGTGAAAGAATGATAGTTTTAGCAGACTAGCAGCGACATGCTTCCTTCCGCATACAGTTAAGCATACCAAGAAAACAAGAAGTGCAAAGAACTCAATCTCACTTTGACGTTACATCCTTCCGCACACTGAATACAAAAAAATTGGTCAAAAGCGTCATGATCACCAGGGCAGGAACTCAAAACAGGTTACAGTTACGCTGTGGCGGTGCTGAGAACAAAAAGAAAGGACAAGTTTGTTGCAAGCATAGGGAAACCAGAAAATGAGAAAAAACTTAAAAGCGAGGCGTAACTCCACCTAAAGCAGCCACAAGTTCCATTGTGTCACTTAAAGTCATAAAAACAAGCTTTTCTGCTGGATGTACCCGAAAACTAGTGAGATCCAACAATCTCAGAACTTCTACCAATTGTTCTAGAGTAGGAGAAGATGTAATGCTAGAAAAGTCTTGATTGCTTTGTCCGAAAACCAATCAAGATCAAAATCAAGATCGATATCCGTGCATGTGTGAGATGAGGGTGAGGATGAGGCCGCACGCATAAAAAGACGGGAAAATAATAATAATAATAATAATAATAATAATTAATTCTTCCCAACCTGACGCCGCCCTCCCCTAAGGTACATATTCGATTTCTCGCCTGGAAAATTAATTTGTGCCCGTTGCATCTCTGTGTTATGGTGCAATGCTGCACAATGACCAATCATCTCACGTATTTGCTACAGTGTGTTAGTCTCCTGGTAGTTTGAATTGCTTTGAGATCCAAACATTCCAACATACCTCATAAATTTTTTGTGGAAATCGGAACGTAGCAGGTCCTATGATTGTTTGGTCAATTATCCATGAAATTGTGTGATGGTTAGTGTTAACGTACGTTGACAAATTCTTTCTTGCCTTTATCTTCTGTTCCACGAGCTTGGTTCTTGAATATAACATCATCGTCCCATCTAACAATTTGTGTTAGAAAGCCCGCTCTGCTGAAACTAATACAGGCTGGACGTACCGTCTTTTGACATTGAAATCGGTTTTAGCATTTAACAGTGGATTGCCAAGAGCAATATCATGCTCACGCTCCGCTTCTTCTACCGCTAGTCTTTCTCGTTCCTGTACTCCGGCTTAGTGGTGATTCTAGTATTGCGAAAGGTTAATCTGACCTCTTGTTCTCTTTTCTCGGCACGCTCGCGCTTAATCTTTTCGAGTTCTCGTTGAAGCTCCGCCGTTTCATCTTCATCATCATCACTAACACCATGTGAGCGTCTTTTCCAATACCATGTGTAAATATGTGGCGGACCTGTCATCATCACTACTATCACTTTCCCCAGTACCGTCCGAATCGGCATCTATATCTCGAGTTTCTTCCAGAATGCGTCGTCGCTTTGCTTCTGGATCTTCTCCATCATCCTCAGCTGACCCGTCCTCGAGTTGTCTCTTTGGTGTATTTGTAGACGGCTGTGCATCTTCGATGGCAGCTGTTAATCCTCCTTTCCTTTTGGCAAAATGCGCTGCTTCTGCTTGTAGTAATTCTGCTCGAAGGTCTCTGACTTCAGCGGCTGCATCCCCTCCTTGTCCCGGCTTCCTATAGTCCAATTAACCACAGACTAGATAAAGGCACACGAGGAAAAGGCGTACCGGAATTTTAGTTGTGTATGAGCGGGAAGTAATCTTTGGTGATACGCCGGTCCGCGTTGCGCTTCTTTTCCCCTGGCCTGTTATTTGTTAGAAATGTCTGTATAGTTTAACGCGACTTTACTCACGGGATCAAAAGTAGGTCTATGTGCTTAAGAAACTGTCAGCACAAGTAAATCAAAGATTTGTCCCTGGCCGAAAGACTTGCCTGTTGTCATTGTATTTGCTTGTTTGATAAATGGATGGAACTTGATAAAAGATAAGCTGAAGACCAGGCGCGATAGACCTACATTTGAGTGTGAATAAGGCTACGCTAGGCTGATTCAATCTCACCGCCTTCAAGGTTGGCAAAAAGAAATCTTGGGGAACAATAAGGTGCCCACGCTATATGCCAGTTCAGTGTGCATTTTCACCGTCAACAAGAGATTCGGAATGCCTAGAGAAGTAGAGCCTTCTATTAATGAGAAGCAGTTCTTTTCGAAAGCTCTCAAAGAGAACTTGAGAATTGATGGAAGAAGTTTTGATCAATTCCGAGCTCTAGAGTTAGAGTTTGGTGATGAATATGGAGTTGCAGATGTGAGATTGGGAAAGACGAGGTAAGAGATACGATCCAGTCCAGTCTATGCGTGACGGAAAGGCACACTGCAATAATTACTTCAACCATGGAGTTGTCAAAATTCGTTACCAAGACTGAAATTCCTCTAGGGTCCTGGTCAACATCACAGCTGAAGTAACGAGTCCGTTTCCGGACCGTCTCTTTGATGGTATCTTCACCATTACAACAGAACTCTCACCCATGGCCTCCCCTGCTTTTGAAACCAACAGACCAACTGAACAAGAGGTACTGCTATCTCGCCTTCTCGAGAAAACCTTACGTCGTTCTGCGGCTCTCGATACTGAATCCCTCTGTCTGATTGCTGGTCAGAAATGCTGGTCCGTCCGCGCAGACGTTCACATTTTGTCGCATGACGGAAACCTCATTGATGCATCATGCATTGCTATAATAGCGGCATTACAGCACTTCAAAAAACCAGATACGAGCACAGAGGGTGAAACGGTGACTGTCTACACACTAGCGGAGCGAGAGCCTGTGCCCTTGAGCCTTTTACACTTCCCACTCTGCGTAACATTTTCGTTCTATGGAAAGGGTGAAGAGCAGGTTAGACTACTCGATACTACGTTGTTGGAAGAACAATTGAGGGAGGGGAGCTGTACCATTAGTATGAACCGACATGGAGAAGTTTGCCAAATCGCCAAGCTGGGTGGTATAGCAGTTGATGCCTTGGAGTTGTTACAGTGTACGAACATGGCGCTGGAGAAAGTCAAGGATATATCTGCATATATCACAAAGAGGCTGCAAGAAGACTCGAGGAGAAGAGATAAGGGAGGACTCATGGCTGAGCTTAGAGCAGATAATTCAAGATGATAAAGATAAAGATTATGTCTGATGTATGACTGACTTTATGCTCGCTTCCTCTGCGAACAAAGCCTCCCAGACCGGCCTGCAAAATCGGAATCAAGGCTAATGCCAATGCTCTATGAATTACACCAGGGTATTGGATATTCAAACTCCTTCAAAATAGATCAAGACGCCGCCCAATTAATATTCCTGACGCTAAAACACAATACAATACTACCATAAAATCAACTATGCTCATCTCTCTCTTCCAGTTCTCGCATGTACTTTACAAAAGTTTTCTTGTGAGTCTACACAATGGTTAGGTCTCTTAGATATTGAATGTGTGGAGGTTGGATAGATCTTACCAGACCGGCATATCGACCGTCCTTCAACACACAAACATACCTCAAGCCAAGTTTGACGAAACATTCGTATACTAAATCCATCGGGGAACGAATATCCAAAGCTACCGGTGCCTATCAATTTGTCATCAGTGGTGGTTCGAGGATAAAAGGCAAATAGGCGTAGCTTACAGGATCAATGTAAGGCGTAAAGTCAGTAGGATCAACATGCTCTTCTCCATCCGACTCATCATAGTTGTTAATGGACGCCATGAGGCACAGAGTACCTAGCTCATTATCAAGATTGTCAAGAGCAAACTCTAAATCAGGCGCTGGTATCAGACCAACAAGAACATCATCCCTGATGATTGGCAATCCACCATCAACTTCGCCCGCCTGGTGCAGAAGTTCAAGCTTCTGACGCAGACTGCTAGCAGGAATCATGGGAGAGACGGAGATGTCAATTACTCTTTCTCTCCGAACTCGTGGGACAATGTCTGCAAGATCAGAGGTAAAAACTGGTTTATGCTTGTTGTTGAGGAATGGGTAGGCGTTCAAATTCGTCAATAAATCCTGATGAGTTAGTTCGTCTTCTCTCCTTCATTACGATTTGATCCTTACATATATGCTGAGAGGTTCCATGAAATCCGCTGTCCATTTTGAGACCAATACAGCGAGTGAAAAAGGTAAAACATAGTCAAGACTACCCGTCAGTTCAAAGAGAATGACTGCTAAGGTCACAGACAACCTCGTGACACCACACATTGTGGAACCAGCAGCAATGAGGGCATAAACCCCTGGAGTAATACATGATGTTCCACTCTCGTGCACAGCGCAACTACCAAATATGGAAGCATCAGGAAATCGTAATACGAGCCACTGTACCAAGTGGCCGACAGTTCGGCCAAGTAGGCCGCCTACAACCATAGACGGGACATATATACCTGCAGGTACTTTCTGTGGCACTGTGTTAGTGGATGGTCATACTGCCTGGTATGGATGGGTGACCAGATGCAGTAGTAGTCACCATCAAGCTGAAAACAAAACGAACTTACAATGCCAAATGTAATTATGGTCAAAAGCCCTTTTATGAAAAATGCAATAGTCAATTGACCAATGATGGGGAAAATCTCATCAATGCTATTTGGGCAAAGACCCATGCTATCCGACTTATCAGTATCGCAAGGGCTAGCTAGGTTGAGCAATAATTTAGCCACGGGAATTTTGGTATATGGGTTCCAATAACCGACGAGACCTGTAAGTAGAGCAACCAGCATGACCTCGAACAGCGGCCACTTTTTTACAATTTCAATCTTCCTGAAAGACTGGGCCCAGGACCTAGATGCCTTGATGAATGTTGCACCGGTTATGCCGCCAAGTACGCCCACCATGATGAAAGCGCCAAGTTCGAAGAATTCCCAGTCTGTCAAGTAGCGAACTTCAAACATGACAATCTTATTGGTGCCATAAGGATTGAGAAATTTCAACGTCAGTGCAGCGGTGATGCAGCAGAAGAAGGTTCGAAATAGTGTTTTAGCGGGAAAAAAGTACGCCACTTCTTCCAAAGAAAAAAGGACACCGCCGATAGGAGCACCAAAAGCTACTGCAACACCCGCAGCCGCGGCCGCAGACAAGACTTCTCGGCGTTTTCCGTCGTTATCATCGTATTTAGAGAACAGACGACATGCAATATTACCCACACAAGTTGCAATGTGTACAAAAGGGCCCTCCTTTCCTAAACTCAGTCCAGATGCTACACTTAATATCAGAGCAAGCGTTTTAACGAGAAGGGTCCTGAAGCCAAGAAATCCATGCAAAACAAAACCGCTTAGTATTACTCGAACTTCGGCCACTCCACTCCCAGCAGCAGAGTAATAGATCATGGGAGCATTCGTCTCAGATCCCAACGTGTTCTTCGGACTGGCATTACCATCGACCGGTGCCTGGGAATCATGTCGACTAAGAGCACCGAGATTCTCATCCAACGTAGACAGTTGATATGTTGATGGCACAACCGTTTTAGTGGTCAAGGTCAAAAGACAAGCTACCGTTGCGAAAGCCACTACAAGGAGAACGTAAATAAAAAATTCCGTGATCTCTTCACTGAAAAATGGTATTTCAACATAATTGGACCAAGATTTCCAAGCATCACAGTGGCTTCCATCAGGGCAGCATCTCTATACGTGTGGTCAGCATACCTATCCGCAATACTTCAGGAAAATTAATGTATTGAACTATTTGGCGTAGCCAACTCTGACTTGCAAGCTTTAATGGGCCAGTTCAAAAAGTCTTGTCAGATAATGAAAGAAAATGCCGGGAATGCCACAAACCTTTTCACTTATAAAAAATCCGTCATGACAATAGCCATCTTTCCAATCAAAAATTGGAGTCTCAGAAACGTCGACGGTATATGCTATGGTGGCTGTAATGAATCCAACTAGTGCGCTTAGTATCCAACCTTGCGTGCCATCGAAGAACGCCTTGATCCGACCTCGAATATCTTTTCTACTTCGAAGACCCTTCACCCGGTATGCATCTGCAATACTGTCATGAACCCAATCTGTTGATGTAAATTGATCATACCAAACTCTGTCGTCCGTGGCCAACATGCTTTTAGACTCCCGCATGTGATCTTTGGGTCCATGTCTTTCCGAGGTCAAGGCAGTGACTAAACGTTGGCCCAAGGATCCGGCACGGCTATGATGTCGACTACCGCGAAAACTACCTGTAGATGATATATAGTTAGCTCCATTCGCAGCAGTATAGAGGAAAGCAAAAGCTTGGAAATCTGCGGTCAAACTAAGACTTGCCAGAGAAGCTGTGATGACTTGATAGATATGGGCGGTTGATTTCTGTGGCACCACCGAGACGTATGCGAGACCGCCCAGCACTTTGAAGCAAAGGTGTTCGCTCGTCGGAGAGGTTACTTATCGATCTCTGGAGAGTTCTCATCGCCGTAGGTGAGGGTGGAGCTGACGACTCCCTCGACTCGGGTGGAATATTCGGCGACATAGTGAAATCAACACCAACGTGGTTTTTGCCAGAAGGGGGCATATCGGAGATGGCTCGGCGTGTCACCTAACACATCGCAAGGAGGTGAACGTTCTTGAATGGCGGCAGTGTACACGACAGAAATTGGAAGGCTCGCATGCAAAGGTGGGAAACGCAAAGGTGGGAAACGCAAAGGTGGAAAACGCAAATGTGAATGTGGACTGAAAGAGGAAATGAAAAAGAAAAGTTAGAGCTGTACAAAAGATGGCTTTTGAATGTTGTCACCGACGCCCTGCTTGATGATGAGTAGATTTTGCTCAGGATTCAACTCAAATAGGAAGATGGAGTGTTGGTGTTGGAAGTTGACTTTACAAGATGAGTTGGGATAACTGCGGGATCTTTAATGCATGTGGAGGAGAAACAGGGGTCTTTCGAGGCTAAGTTAAACCCTGAAAGTTATTATCAGCGGCATTTGTACTCGTAGCGGTCGGACTTTCCTGCTGCAGTTTGCTTTGCAGGTTGATGCTTCGTAAATGTGATGTCAATAGGTAGCATTCAAATTGTTGTAGGTTGCAGCTGCAGGATGAAATTCTACGAAGAAACCCTCTGACGGAGAATATCGAATGCAAAGTAGAATGAAAACGTCGAAATCAAAGACATCATGATCATGATTCACTAAGGCCAAAAGCAGGAGTGGATAGATAATGGAGGAGTAAAATTGAAAATGATACGGGTTAATGCGCTTTGATAGCTTCGCGGTGCGTTGATATCGTCGATAACCTCGATAGCCTCGATGAAATGGTAAGACTTATGGAGTACTCTTGATCCATCCATCCAACAAATCCAACAATTCAAACAAATTCAAACAAATTCAAACAAATCAAAACAAATCAAAACAAAGAGGGGTGACTACTTTCGTACTTGTGTTTCCATGAATTCTTGGAAGCTCTTCTTGAAAAGTTAGTCACAAGGTGTTGTGAAACATACGAATGCATTCATTCTTATGATCTGCGATTTCTTCGGTCACAAAGGCAAAGATCTGTCGTGCAACCCATGTTGGTTGGTGCTATTTCATTGAGGAATCTAACCAATTCAGCCCCGAACTTTAGACTAGAAGAACATTTAGACTCGAATACTCGTATGAAAATGACAACTTGTGAGTTTTGAGCAATCGTTGTTTAAGAGACGGATCGTATCTATCAAATCATTCAAATGGTTAGTATTATTATTTAGTATTAGCTCATGATAGTGGTGAGGTCATCGGCAAGTGGCATTATATGATATCCAGAAAAAAAGTACAATAAATATAAAAATAAAATAAAGTAAAAACTCGAAAGGAAAAGGAGGTCTTTCCTGACTGTATATAGGTACCTAGTACTCCGTAAATGACTGAAAATATCGAAACTGTTGAATGCATAATTTATTATTATTCATCTCCTTGGAGTCTATGACATACTGGCTGCCTCCTAGTCAACCTTCTCTAATAGAATAGCTGAGAGAATGCCTTTGCGAATACATACCTACCAACCATTGATACATTGATAGTAATTTGATACAGCTCAGGAGACCTAACCAATTCAATCTGTGGAGAAGAATCCTGGTAGTATGGTAGGCAATCTAACGGCTGCCGCGAATATCGCGTCAAACTAGCAAGATCTTACATGCCTGAGATTTCTTGAAGGTGTCTGTCAACTACCCCGCAATGCAATGCAATGCCACCGGTACCCAGAGACATCAGATATCTCGCTCAGAATCAGAACACACAACACAACACAATACGCAACCTTGCGTACTCTACAAACTATTCGAACCAGAACTATCCACTCTTTTCATCAAGTAAAAGTTTCAAGCAGTGCGATCGAGGTGTGGTTCTCCATCTTTATCCATATAATTTCTCATATATGGATGGCTAGACAGTAGATACTAATAAGTGAATACCCATCGAGGTGGGCTGCTCCCAAAAATTGTTTCGCCGGATAACCACTTCCCAACCTTTCTCGGCTGCAGAGAGAGAGCAAAAGAACACCTTCTCATGCTTTAGCTTTGATTCCACGACACCATACGTACTCTGGAATGACTCTCAAAAGATATCCCCAATTCATTCTAGTGGGTGATTCCATTGTTCAATTTTCAAGTAATCTGCGGGATGGTTTCTCATTTACTGCAGGTCTTGAAGAACGTAAGTTTGCTGGTGCAAATCATTCAATCTTTTGCTAATCCCAATTTAGATTGTTCTAGGCGACTGCAGGTTATAAACCATGGCTTGAGCGGGTACAATACCGATAATGCTCTTGAGATACAGCAGCATCTTGTTCCAGATCCAGCTACTGCAAAAGTTTCCTATCTGGTATGTCAACATGTACCATGCAGGATTCATCCCATTTATAGTGGTGCATTTGAAAGCTCCGCCATTCCCGGTTCCGGGGATAACCTCAGACTAGTTCGCTTCATACTGACAGTGCTGCAAGCTCATCCTTTTCGGTGCAAATGATGCGTGCCTCCCAGAAGGTCCCACGGGCCAATATGTTCCTTTGGAAAATTACAAGAAAAACATCGAAGCCCTTCTCGGTCATTGGAGTTCCATAGCTCAAAGTCCTACGATCTTGCTGGTGACACCACCACCTATCAACGAGATCCAGCTTGAGGAGCAAGACCGTCAGAAGGGCTACTCTTCTGTCACACGCTTACAGTATAATACAGCCAAGTATGCAGCTGCAGTGAGAGAAATTGCCGCCAAGTGGAAGGATCGAAACGTGGTATTAGTCGATCTTTGGAAAGCCATGATGCATAAAGCCGTACAGATGAGTCAAAATGACACCATTGATGTCGACACGATTGGTACCAAATGTGCTGCAGACGATAAAGCTATGAGAATGCTTCTCACCGACGGGCTCCATCTCTCTAGCGAAGGATACAAGATACTCTTAAACGAAGTGATACCCTTGGTGGGAAAGGAGTGGAATAAAGAGCCAGACGATAATCCGAGCTGGCTTTTTCCACATGTAAGTATAATTTTCCTTTTCCCGACAGAAGTCCCCGAGAACCTAGATATTCTAGATGGATTCATATTCTCAGTGAGATAATGTGAACCTTGCTAACAACATGATCATAGTGGACAGTAGCTCCTAAATTTCGTCGTTGACGAGGATAGACGCATATTGCCCAGAAAGCTAGTAAATGAAATATTGACTACGACGGAAGTAAAATATCATACCATATCCATGCATAGAGGGCTTATAAGATGCCTATGTAGGCACAAAGAGGGAAAGGTTAAGTAGGACCATCCATCTATGTAGATGGTGGTTGAGGGTCGCATCAGCGCTGAAGATCTCTCCAAGATCCGGTAGACTTCATGTAGGAAAGAAAAAAACTTATATTAGTCAAAATAAATTGCAGAAACGATAATCAAGAGCCCGATTTGAGGTTGTCAAGCATTGATTTTTAACCTTCAGCAATGTTTTAATAAATTGATAGTTTATTTGCAATGGAGAATCCAGTACTTTTAAAGATCTTCAGTAATTGAAGCGTTCGTTTTTTGGGGGGGATTTTCAGGGCACTGTGTGAGCACTACCAGTCATTCAGCTTACCCTTGCAATTTTACAGGGTCACCATAATTAAGTTTAAAGGACCAACAGCAGAGCAATGACATCCTTTCATCCCATCCGGAGTACTGAATCCCAACCCAACATCTTATTCGATTGATAATTTAGAAGACCTACTATACGGAAAATCAACGTCAAAATAATCACATCTAACAATTGCATTTCAAAGATCTTTAAAGGCAAGCTCATACCTGTCGTTCGTGGCACAATCATCATAACTCCATAAATCATAATCGTACCTACTTACTGCCTACTTGTACTGCCCTGCCCAACTGCGACTCCAAACTCCCAAACGGCAAACCAACGACAGACTACAAACTATCTGCTGAAAGACACACGAGTAGAAGCCTGCGAAGCCCCTCGATATCCTACTGTTCAATCTACACAACGCCTTTCGCGTACCCCGAAATACTTCAACGGATCTTGGACTCACACCGAAGCAGCAGTCCGCCATTACATTCCCCATCCGATACTTGCACTACCCAACCCCCAAAGAACAGCTGAGCATAACAAAACAAAGCAATTTCTCGTTCACCTCCCAGCGCCGATTTTGTTAGACAAATTCATACATTAGAGACTTTGGGATTAAGCATACATCGACCATAGTAGGCGGGATTAAAGATTCTAGGTCGTTGGCTGATGCCGCGGGGGAGGCTCACATAGAGCCGTTTTTTACCTTGCTAGCATTAAGTAAAGCACAAGACTGGAGAGCCAGTACTTTCTCCGTCATTTGATATATTACCTAGGTGCCAAACGTTTCGTGATATACCTCCAGCCGACTGGGGAGGCATCCGCAACGACCTCTTTTCAAACAATTAGATTGCAATAAATCTAGGGGCAATCATACGCTACCGCCGCGGAAGTCTTCCTTGGTCAGTTTCGTTTCATACTACTCCTATGACATCAAGCACAAGTCACGAAAGACAAACTTCCCTGGGGGTTACAAGGAAAGGATTGGAATGGATTCACAGTTTCTGGCTTCTCGAGAAGAACTATATCATGTTCAGATGGATGTGAAGCATGTTCAAGCCGTACAAATTAATCATTCCGACCGTCTCATGAGACTAGAGAAACGACAAGCGGACGATGCCGCCCTCAAATCTGTCTGGGGTACAAACTCACCGTTTCCCGGCATTTTGAGCGGCACTCCCCAACATGGTTTGTGACAGGTACAACCCTCACAACGCTAGTTAGTCTACTGACGCAATAAATTATAGGTCCCGTTCACAATTCTCCTACGGATGTTTTTGATAATTTCGACGATGAAGAAGAGCAAAATCTACTTGGGAGTCTTCATCTAGATAATGATGAGGAACCAGTGCGTAGAGGCGCTTCGAGGGCAAACAGTGTACGTTTCGATGTTAGCGCTCTACAGGGCTCGCATTGGGCACAAACATCAAGATCATCAGGGGAATTCGGTCCCATTCGCCCGACTAGTGGATTTGGCAGTCATCCTATGACAGAGCGCTCTTCATCACATAAATCAGATGGACGACATAGCTCTGCTGGCCACTCTGTGCACTCGACGCACTCTGTTCCCTCTGGACGCACAAGTAGTCTAGGATTGGATACCAACTTTATGATTGGTGACCCAGACGACGATTCGCCGTTGGAGATACCGGACCCTCCCCCAGGTCTATTCATATTGGGATCAGTACCTTCTATTATCAGATGCTGGCTTACGGTCAATTTCTCTCACAGTGCACTTCTCTATGCCGATGTTTGTACAGGCTCGCAGAAATCCCTTCTTGAATATTCACTTGTGAAAGAGCTTGGCCTAACAAATCAGATGCAAAAGGATCCTACAAAAGGACGTTACATTATCAGGCTACCTGTCTATCTCCCAGAGGCAATTATAACACAATCATCTTCCAGATCGAATAGTCCCGGTCCTCAATTGCCCACTCTTACAGTTGATTTCGAGGTAGTTGGAATGAATCAACGATCAGTTTCTGATCTCAAGAGATCTATCCGCGTATTTCTTGGTAGTGATACCCTCCGTGCGCATAACGCAGATATACTGTTCTCGCAGAATCTTATGACACTCTTCGGCGATGATCGTAACAAACTGTCTGTACCATTCGTTCGGCCAGAGGATGAACTTCTTTTCAAGAATTTGTGCATCGCCAACATTCCACCTGAAAAAAATGAACTCAAGGCGACGGCTCTTCCTTTTACTCCCAGTGAACAACGATCCAAGATTGAACCTACAAGCCCAGGTGATGTAGTTAAAGGGTCACGTAGTGATCGTGTCAAGCCAGCGGACTCAGATTCCAAACCTCAAAGTATCATAAAATCTCAAATCAGCTCTGCCACTATATCGTCCTTGCCCGTTCACAGTAATGCTCCTGTGTCGGAGCCTGATGTTTCTATCAAGGGCAACGACAGTACCTCAGACTTGGAAAAGTTATACAAATCGGATCAAGGCGTGGCCGATGCAAACAATGTCGAATCCACGAATGCAATTGGTACTCCCAAGCGTGAAACGACTATGGGTACTTGGGGTTCATGGCGACAAGGCAGTACGCCCTTAAATCCTGACCACAATAGCGATTCCACAAGTGGATATCAAAAGGCGGTACGGGGGGGTCGAAGTATGAAGGTCCTAAAACCATCAAAGTCCATGTCATCGCCGTCAACCCTAGCTGCAAATCGACCATCTTCAGGCGCAAGAACAGGTGCAGCCTATGAGCCGGCGCCTTTGCGATCAATGGCCGATCTCAAGCGAAAGGATCAACCCAATGGGACTGACAAACAACAGCTTCGTTGGGAGCCAAAAAGAGTAAGTTCAGAGGAGCAAAAGAGCGTTAAGGTGATTACAACCATTCCAAGATCCTCAAATCCAGTCGGCGGTGCTTCAGCTTTTGCGTGGATGAACCCCAGCAAGCCAAAGCCTTCAGCTACCACCACGGATTCCTGATAGGTGATTGGGAAAGCACGTGTTCAGGACAAATATGTGGATTGATTACTCGTGTATTTGACTGCGCAGTCTCCAGATAACTTAAATAAAAATACCATGTTATCAAACTATTCCTTAATTTTGCATTCTCTAAAAATTCCTTCACATCTTACTAAGAAGGGCAGTCATCGCATCCTTTGTACTCGCAGAAGATTCCTTCACCAGAGTAGTGATTGCTCTGAACCTACGAAAGGGGCGTTAATAAATCTAGTAATCGCATTATATGACGATGGTTATGCCATGGTACTTACTCGGGAATACTAAAAGAATTAGTTTCACTTGTGTGTTGTAGAGTGAGAATATTACATACCTAGCGTCACCCATGATTTCATACATGATCGATTCCGAACTTGTCACAATAGCACCGGCAGCCCTCAACCGCTCAAGTGCAATAGGTATCTCTTGTGGATTGCAGCTACTTACTCCATCTGCTAATACATATACCTACGCAACCGTTAGCAACCCCATGCATCGAACACTAACTAAACTCACTTTATGACCATTGGCAAGCAAATCCAATGCGGTTTGTGTGACGCAGATGTGCGATTCGATGCCCACGATGATTACTTCAGCTGGGGCACCAGAGTTGAAGTGTCGACAGATGGAGGGGATCCACTGGGTTTTTGTATCATGGGTTAGCATTAACGGTACAGATACCTCGCCGTATCATAGAATAAGGACGTTGACACGAAAGCTGTGCTTCCATGATCTTGTATGATAATTATTAGTTCACGTACCATGCTAAAAGCAGTCTTGTCCGCGTGCTCAACAGCATGGGGAATACTAAGCTCAGCACATGTCTCGCCTAGTCGCGCGCGGTTTTGCGTTGTGGCATAGATGGGGATGTGAAGGATTTCGCTTGCTTTTATCATCTTCTGAGTTGTAGCAATGCTGCGGTTGGGACGAGGGTTAATGATGAAGATTATAATTTGCGAAAGTGATTCAAACGCACACTTTCTCATATTCCCAGATTGCTTTGCGAAACTTCTCCTGGACGTCGCAGATACTTTTGAGAAGACGGGTCAGCGGAGGGGTGAAATGCAGCATGGAGTAGACGGGGCACGAACAAGAGGGCGGGCCTATCTGGGTTGAGTAAGTATGTGGGCGCTACAGATCACTGGCGAAACCTACGTAGCCGTCTTCCTACATGCTCTGTCATTTTTCTGCGATATAGAATGATACTTTGTTTTGTCTACTCGTTGACGGTATGTATTGCATTTCCTGGGGTAGTGGGGTATGTAAGCCGAGGATGTGGAGCTAAGGCACCAGAATGCTTTCGCCTATCGGACAGCGTCAACGTTCCCTTTCTGGATCAAGGGGTTTGTAGGGTGACTTTAAAGTGTCAATTGCATAAGCATTGGGAATTCACTCAGGTACACATTCCAGCATTGTGGTCTATTGTAGGATATCTCTATAGTATGGCTTCAACTCTGGCCTTTTCAAGCCATCGCAAATCACCTCCCGAGTTTGCTTTCTGTAAGATGTATAATTCATCAATCAGCGCTGGAACAAAAGTACCCGGACCTCTCACATCATCACGTACAGCTGCTGTCTCAGCTGCAATCTCATAGTGAAGCAATGCTGATAATACAGCGAGAAGCTTATCTCCACGATTGACAGCCAACATTGCTGAGATGATGGTACCTAAAACACAGCCGCTTCCCGTAATCCTACCTAGGATTTCATGGCCATTTTTTATTGCGAAAGTACGTAATCCGTCACTCAAAATATCAACCGCTCCAGTCATCAGTACCACATTCCGCTCCCTCAATGCCAAATCACGCACTATTGTTGCTTTCTCCGTGAGACTCGACGTGCTCGCGCCACTGTCCACGCCTCGTTGCTGAATAGATGATCCTGACACGGTCTTGATTTCTCCCTCATTTCCTTTGATGACATCGAAGTAACCAGCACCTAGAAGTGTTTTAACTGCCGAGCGCCTTACAGCAGTGGCCCCACAGCCGACTGGGTCGAGTACAACTGGACCTCCCTCTCTGTTGTACGCCTTTAGAGCCTTTGAGTAATTCTCTATACCCTCGGGGGTAACCGTTCCCATGTTAATGACCAAACCCCCTCCCAGACTTGCAAGGCCTGGAGCCTCTTCTCCATAATTTGCCATAATAGGTGACGCACCTATTGCCAGAGCCACATTGGCCGCGAAGTTCTGTACCACAAGATTCGTCATGTTGTGAGATAAGGGCGTCCTCTTAGCAACTTGTCCTATGACGCCTGGAACCTGTAATAAGAGATCGCAGGGGTCTTTCTTCGTCTGATCATTCGGGATATGTGCTGAAGCAAATGGAGCCGGAGTTCGAATAAGCTCGGCAAGCTCGCTAGCAGCCGTTTCAACGTCTTGTGCTGTTATTATGGCACTGACGATAGCCACGCCGTCAAGCTGCTTTCCCTCTGCTGCTGACTGATACAAAACACGCTGCAGATTCAATGAATTAATTCCACCTATAGCTACAGTGTGGACTTTGCTTCCTGACTGCTGCAAAGAATGAAGAATCTCCTTCGTGCCAGCAGTTCCAATGATATCTTTGGTGTTGGTTTTCCTATTTCAACTGCCATCAGAATTGATCCTATCATCTTGAGCAAATGGCGTAAGACTAAGGTCGAATAGAGACTTTGTTCGTGCTAAAAAAAACAAGGTCGGGTATTGTGATTTATACTGTAAAAGGAGCATCACTTGATTTCTTCATAGCTTTTCGATACTGAAACTGCTTATTGAATCGCCACGGCATGCTTACGTTGGTGTGGCGAACATGGTGCCAATTCCCAAATAATCTGCGCCATGTTCAGATGCTATCATAGCCTCCTCAACACTAGATACTGTTACTCCAATAATTGCATCCTCACCCAATAGTATCCTCGCCGTTTTTAGATCTAAATTAAAGTTAGAGACATGAGAAGAAGAGAATATTTATCACGTTGTTCATGGCAAAGGACCTACCCATATCATCCTGACCAATATGTACACCTTCGCACCCAATGGCAAGAGCAACGTCGATTCGATCATTGATTAGAAGTGGAACTTTGTATTTTTGTGTGACAGTATGTAATTTCCTTGCAGTAGTAACGAGAGCAGCTGTGTCGCTGAATTTGTCTCGATATTGCACAATAGTAACACCCCCACGGATAGCGGCCTCTACTACATCAACAAGATCTCTATTACCAAGAATAGCAGATGTAGAGTCTGTCACGAGATAAAGAGAGTAATCAACATTCTTGAAAGCCATGATGATGTAGTGAAGAGGGGGATGTGGTGTAGAGTTATGGATATGAATATCTGGGTATGAATATCTAGGGATAATCGGGATGGAAGCATTATCAATGAATCATAGACCTAGTACTATCTATACCTAGTACCTCCCTTCCTAGGTAGGTATGCTTAGACGCGGCAGCCCGTGTAGTTTTCCAATTTCTTGTTCAATCACGCATTATGCTACGGTGGATGATAAAGAATCCTCTTGAGGGAGGTGCGTATTCATAACCTTCTGCCTCATCTCATCTACTGTATAGACGAATGACCGATTTATGCATTGTTTGTTATCATTTATCATTTATAACTCGATATTTCAATGTCCGAAACCAAGTGCATATTACAATGTGTACTACCTATGTAGGCTGTAGTAGTCAATCAGATTCTTAGAAAAAGTTTGCCGTAGTCGTTTGTCGGTAGATATGGTTATTCCTCTGTTGCCCCACTCCTTTCCTCTGCTTGACAGGGCTTATTTTTCACCACCAAATATCCGAAACCTTTTTATTCACAAATTCTTTCAATCCTTCTCTGCTTCTCTTCTCTTCTCCACACCAAACCATCTTCTTTCCTCTTTCTTTGCCTGCCCACGGAATAAAAAACAACAACAACAAACAAACAAACAGATAAGCAAGCAATCAATCAAACAATAACATCATCAACAATACAATAACACTTGTATTGGAGTTTCTTTTAAACTCAATAAATACATTACAAAGGGCCAACTTCTCTACCGTCCCGCCTCTCTAAAATCATTAGAGTCAAAACAAAGTTAGAGCATACGCCTCTCTCTCACACCACCAAGCTGTCCTTTTGCTTTTCGCTCTTCTACTTATCGGATATCTCCATTTGCAGACTCAAATCTCTACTACCTGCATATTTTAATCTCGGGCAGGATTTCGGTTTTTTGCAAACAAGGACCTTCTTCCCTTGAAATCTTCAACCAAAGCTATCAGCACGTACAGTGATACATTTGCGTTATATGTATCTCACACCCAACGCCAACGACCTCAGACATCAGCCGCCTCTCGAGCTGCAACCATTTCGCATACCGCGGAAACCTTGTAGTTCTTACTTCAGCAGCAACGGCTAAGTATCATCCATCCACCATTCGAATGTTCCCGTAACTACCCAGCAAATTTCAACAACCTCGACCGCCTCTGCCCCTTCAGGAAGTCGAACTTTTCTGCATGTTATATCTCAGAATATCAGATTATCTAATAAATAACTGCACGCCTTAACTTTCACGAAACTCCATTTTGCAACTCAAGCTACCAATTAGCAATCATGGCTACCGTCAATATCCGTCGCGATGTCAAGGACAACTTTTACAGATACAAGATGGAGAAGATCCAGTCCAAGATTGAGGGAAAGGGTAACGGAATCAAAACCGTCATCGTCAATCTCACTAGCATCGCCAATTCCTTGGCTCGCCCAGGAGCATATGTCATCAAGTACTTCGGCTTCGAACTCGGAGCTCAGACCAACACTAACCCTGCCGATGATCGTTGGATCATCAACGGTGCCCATGAAGCAAGCAAATTGCAGGATTATCTAGATGGTTTCATCAACAAGTTTGTGCTCTGCAAAGAGTGCAAGAATCCCGAAACCGAAGTGATCTTCAAAGACGGAAATATCGTCTTGGATTGTAAGGCATGTGGAAAGCGCTCGATGGTCGACCCAAGACTTAAGTTGAGCGGCTTCATATTGAAGACTCAGCCGAAGAAAGGCAAGAAAGACAAGTCAGAAAAGAAGGCGGCTCGTAAGGCCAAGGCAGACAAGGGCGAGGCCAAAGAGAACGGAAATGGTAGTGGAAGCGAGAATGCATCTGAAAATGGGTCCAATGACAACAATGGCAATGGCGAAGTGACACTTGATGCTCCAAGCGACGATGAGCTTGTCCGTCAGGCAGAAGAGCTCCAACAGTCGACCGAAGTCAAAGATGACGACTGGGCTGTCGATATGTCCCCAGAGGCTATCAAGGCCCGCCAACAACAACTTCCTGATGACCTCAAGCAAAAGCTCGTTCTCGGTGGCGGTGGTGGGGACGAGGACGACGACGAAGAATCTGGTGGAAATTCCACTTACGACCAACTCGCAAACTGGATCGAAGAACAGACGGCGGATAAGGGTGACGTCAGTAAGGTAGACGATCTTGAAATCTATCGCAAGGCGAAAGAGTTGGGGATTGAGGCTAAGCATCGCACTCTTGTCATCCTCGCTCTCACGCTCTTCGATGACAACATCGTGAAGCAAATCCCAAAGCGAGCAGGCATGCTTAAAAATGTAAGCCCACATTCCTTAAACCTGACTGACGTATATGAAGACTAATATATTGCAGATGATCACTTCTGAGAAACACGAAAAGTCTCTTCTCGGTGGGATTGAAAGGTTCATCGGTCTGCGCGGCCAGAAGAACCCTGAATTCTACGAGAAAACATCAAAAGTGCTCATGGTCCTTTATGATCAGGAACTCCTCACCGAAGAAGTCCTTACCAAGTGGGGTACCAAAGCTAGCAAGAAATACACCAATGACCTTGCCGTAAGCAAGAAAGTCCGCAAGTCAGCAGAGGAGTTCTTGAAATGGTTAGCCGAGGCCGAGAGCGATGATGATGACTCTGAATGAGAGATAACAAAGACCTTCGTCAGGCTCGCACAGAGTGTTCCATTTCATTTTTAAGTTTTTGTGATAGTAACACTGTCAGGCCTTCATGCCAACTAATAACTATGGGCTCATGTTCAGGCACGAAAACACTCCATAGATTTTTTTAAGGCAGGCTGCTACTGTTCTTTTCGGTTTCGCTTTCTTAGTATCACACAAAAAGTCTCACTTGTGTTAATATAAAACAAATTCCACTCTTCTACCGTTAATCCATGTAATCAATATTTGAAAAATTGTGAGAGATTGTAACCATGACTGTAAACAATGTGAGATGATTCATTACATTACACTACTATGGAAGGGCCAGGAGACTGGAATTGGTAGCGGTCAAGTGGGAGTGTTTTCATTTCATGACGAACACCAGCCTGCAATACCAACCAAACAGCATCGGCATTCACGGCGGACAATGCTTCGCGAACATCCCTTCTTTCTGCTATGATGCTTGCCAAAATATTTAGAACATCATCGAATGCTTCATCACTTATATCCGTGCATTCCACTAAAGCCGTCAAGAGCTTCACCATACTCTCCCACATCTGCGCGGCCTGAGAGTATATCCCACGACTACCGGACCCAGACTTCTCCGCCATCATATCAGCTTTGGTCTGCCTGGCCAAGCTCATTAGGCGGGGCCATTGCACAGCGAGTCTCGTGGTAAGAAAACTGCCAGCACATCTACAGATGGCGGCAATAGAGTCTGCGGCTGCGATGGCAACATGTGTTTCCTTATCATATAGTCGGTCTATAACTACAGGCCATATATCGTTAACAAGTGGCAGAAATCTTTCCTCGTCGCTTTGTAATGCAGTCGAGGATGTGCTGATTAAACCTAGTAATCGTGTACGTAATGTTGGGGATGGATTTGTGAGGTAATGCTGGCAGAGTCGGATAATGCTCTGGAGCATGGAGTAGGTTTTTGTTACCGGTATCTTTTGTATCTCTGCTGCCTCATTATTTCCATTCTCGCTGTGTTCGACACTCTCACCGGTCTCGTCCAATAGTGCAGAAGCGCTTTTCCATGGCTCTCGTGGGAAGTCATCATGTCCGATATTTTCTTCGGCTTTGAATCTTTGCTGCTGCTTTTCAATTGCCTGAACAATACTATCAAGTGTGATGACGGGAGGCCTAGCTTCGCTAGCACCAACCCGCGGTACATCAGCTAGTTGCAATTGGCGGGGTTGTGCGCCAGCCTCTACAATCTCTCCCAGTACAGCAAATAGACCCTCAACCAATCCCTGGTAGCCATGGAAGTTGTCTAAGGCGGCAAATATGGAAGATACCACATCATCAAGATATAGAAGTAAGGACGGCCCCGTCAGTCGAATCATCATTATTAGCACCTGCGGGGCTTGGGGCGATAGGTCAAATGTATTCAGCCTCAATGAAATTGCGTTCACCAGATAATCAACATTCTCCACAATAAGTTCCCTAGTGCTCGGGTACCCGCAGGCCTTTGCGAGCACATTGAGACAAACAGTGGCGCGCTCTCTCAATTCAACGCTGGGCGAGCCCAAAAGCTGTGATACAGGATATAGTACATCCACGAGCTCTACTCGAAAGCCTTCCTTGAGGCACTTAGCCCAATTAGATACAACCTCCAGCGCGACACCTTTTACTCGCCAATCCAAACTGTTGTCTTCGTTAGATAAAACTGATAGGGAGTAGGAATAAAGATCCTGGTTTGTGGCTTGATAGTCATCAGAAGCAAGAAGTGTGGACTCTAAGAATTCATCCAATTCCTCATTCTTGGAAGCAGCTAATTGTACCAGTTGAGACGAGATCCAGTAAGCAGCCAGTAGGCTTGGTCCAGATGCTTGCCGAGCATACTCGAGCATCTCAGTGGCCATATCCGTTCGTGATTGCAATTCACTCAAAGACCTAAGAAATGTTGCCATTGCGGTTCTGGTAGATTTCTGGCTTTCCTCGGGCATCAATATGGGTGCAAAATCCCTGGATGGCATCATTTCTCCTGATAGGGCTATTAGAGTCCTACTATTAGGGTCTGGGGAAGCTTCTTGCATCATCCTAGGCAGTGAAGAGGTCTCGATTACACTAGAAAGACTGTCCCGTAGCGATTTGGAAAGTGCTTCGTCAAGCACTGAAGAGCCCAAGTTCAATGTACTCAATAATGCATATGATGCGGAAAGTTGTTGTAGCGCGGATACCTTGGCAGTCTCATCATTCATTTGCATCACTCGTGGTAAGCTGTCCACCCAGTGATAAAATGTTCTTTTGATCGACTCCCCAATGTTTGAATGTATGGTGGCCAGATCTACAATAGATGTTCTGCCTATGTCAAAAGTATCTCCTGTATTCAGTAACGATAAACAAGTTTCCACAAGAATGGAAGTCGAATCAGCCAACGTATCATGACATTCATCTAGGAGGACGATGCAAAATTTATTCAATGAAATACGGACACTACTAGCCTTGTGTGTGCGTAATTTCACGACGTTCGCCAGGGAAAGTTTGATCTGAGAAGTAGTAGCAGTAAGCCATGATTTTGTGAGCATCTTATTTTGACCATCTGTTCCTACTCCCACCTCGGTATAATTGCTTGCCCTGATAGTTCGAGTCCTGAAATCGCTCAATACCGTGGTTAAAACTAGTTGCAGACTTTTCAGTGCCATTACAATGGTTTTCTGTGACCTTCGAGATGTTGTGGTAGGTACGAGGCATTTTGTAAGTGCCGAAACCGTCCCTGGGAGGAAATTGGCATGAGCTTGTACATCTTTGATACAAGTCCATGCAGCTCTCAAAGCATTCAAACCTTCTATCTGTATCTCTGCCGAAGGTCCTTCGGTAATTGCATCAAGTATCGATGTAATGCAGTGACCAAGAGCCGGCATGGTACTTTCATCTGTGATTGTAACAGTAGCCTCAGGGGTGCGGGCCAAGTCAGTAAATAAAGCTGCAACGGCAGCCAGCGCTTCCACAACAAGTTCCTCTGGGGCTTGTACTGGATCTTGCCCTGGCACTCCTCCAATTATCAACGTCAAAAGGATCAAAAGTTGTTTGGCAAGATCTATTGCGATGTAGTTCCGCCATCCCTGCTCCAATAGCAGCCTAAGACATTTCACTGTGAGCTCCGACAATTTGTCTGTGTATTTTCGTTTTGAACGTAGGATTTGAGATATTGGGAAGAAAACGTCTGGTAGCACACTCGTCGTTAGTCATTGTCGATATCAAAACGCCATGGTCACAGCTTCCGGGAACGTACAATCTGCCAGTTTCTCATCGAAAGCTTCATTCTCACATGCTTTCTCCAATGCGCCAAGGAGATTTTCTATCGATGGTATTAGAGACTTGCTGTCACCAGCGTCCCTCAATGCCAATTGGCTGAGGCTAACGCAGTATGGTTTGAGCTGTTCTACGGTCAACACTGCGACGAGAAGGGCCATGACTGTTCCTACCTCCTGAAATATTTCATTTCGCGACTTAAGAACTCTTGGATCCATTTGAAGTGTTTAACTTCACGAGGCCAGAGCATTCTTGGTGCATGGTTGGGATTATCTTTCATTTACTGATGGCGGGGCTAGTTATCAGCCTTTTGTGCGGGGAAGCGTTATTCAGAACTAAACCATAACTAGAATTCATACTAAACCTTTTAAGAAAAGAATTGATAATAGGATAGCCTTAGGCTTCGGGGTCTTCTGATGTTTTTTAGTCTTTATTTTAATATATTTGTGACGGAAATCCCTGCTTTCCTCCCACCCTTATTATATAAGAAACCTCAGGTACATTAACCATGTCCACACATGATACGATTACTCGAGATTAGTATGCGATTTAGGTGACCTGAGGATCAGATCCGGACAAGTACTAGGTATCAATGGTTATCGGTAAAGTAAGATCATTGGAGGAATAAATATGACTTCTTTTTGCCTAGCCATTGCGGCTAGGCCATTCATTTGTGTATATATAGAGTAGCTATCCCCATCTACAGGTGCTCTTCACCTGCAGATTCTAAGTTAAATACAATTGCTGGTCTATAAACACCCTTTTGGTCACAATATTATTTAAAGAAAATTTCTTATTATATTGTTAATTTTATAAATAAGTACTATGTTTAATTTTAATCAATTATAATTTATATTTATAAATTATTTAATGTTTTATAATATCTTTTATAAATATATAATAAAAATTAAATTAATTATTAATTACTCTGTTACGTCAGACAGTGATATAGGTCACGTTCTTGATCACATGATCAAGAAACCGACAATGTTACGACGGCTATCTTCTACGCCGCGTCACATGACTAAATCAAGGTAACGTGATTAAGTCACGTTATGGACCGCTGCGCGGTCCTGACTAGCTATAGGTATGAAGGTCTATATAATCAAGATGGATTTCCTTTGTATAGAGCTTCGTGCTCAAGATCAATCATTTAGTATACTCTACTATTAGTTGCGAATTGCATTATTGTCATTACTTTAAGTCCCTGCTTGACGCCTAGTTATAAACCACCTCGAGAGCCTAGAGCACTTCCACATGATCTAGACGGCAAACTTCGTAACATTTTTCTGTGATTAAATACAAACGGGGCATGCCACGTGACCCGGAGGTGTAAGGCGTCACAGATTTGTCGGTTTCTTGATCATGTGATCAAGAACGTGACCTATATTACTGTCCGATGTAACACTAGGTAGACTTACAATAGAAAATATAGTATCTAATTAGGCAGTAGGTTTTAACAATACACAAATAGAACACATACTCATTAGCTAGGTAGAATACTCTCTCTCTCTCTCTCTCTCTCTCTCTCTCTCTCTACATCCCTATCCCTATCTAGTACCATTTTCATACCTGTAGAATTGAGATGTTGTACATTGAGCCTCGTTCCACGGAATGAAAATGCTCGTCACATGCCCCTTTGTTCCTAATTGCACAGAAAATGGAAAACAAAAAAAAACTTGTTCAACCGCTCATGTTCATTCATGACTCTTCTTCAACGAGGACAATATGAAGGTAGCTTCGAAGCTCGAACCAAGAAAAGGTAATGGATGAATAAAGAGAATCACATTTTGATTTGTCCCTATTTCTTATAATTTTTGTAATTTCGTTTCAATTTCCATTATCGATAACATGATCTCCGTGCTTATATTACTTGGCCCAGCCGGAAAAGTATTGAAGATTGAATTCAACCATCAAGCTTCAAGCTTCTACTTCACTCATTAAGTTTCTGCCTCTGGTCTCCTTGCGAATAATATTATTATAACCATGTCTACAGATGGTACTGCTAATGCGATTGGATCAGCGTCAGCTCAAAGCTCAGCTGAACAATCAAAGAGCACAGCGAACACATCAAGCGCAACTCGTCGACGTCCTTGGGATATAATACAGAACGGCGGCGTCGCACCAAGAGCGCGAGTTGGACCTGATCGAGAACAATATGCGGAGATACCTAGTATTAGCGAGGCCATCAATCAATTCGAGAAGCAATTCTATTCTGGACAACCCAAGTCTCTGTCTGGCATTGCATTGCGATCCTTTCTCGTTGGTATCGTCCTCGCATTCTCTACCTTCAGCACCCTCTACTTCTTCTTTGTCACCGAAACGATCTTCTGGCGCATCCCTTTCTTTATTTCTTCCCTCGCCATCTTCCACTTCCTCGAGTTTTGGACTACAGCGAGATACAATACACCTGAAGCATCCATTTCCTCCTTTCTCTTCAGCGGCAATGGATCCGCATACAACATCGCACATAGCGCAGCCATCAGTGAATTCCTCATCACGAATACCTTTTTCCCCAATGGGTCTCCATACACCATCTACGGCCTACAACTGCCCCCCTCCATATCCTGGTTTAGTCCTCGGGCACAAAACTTTATCCTCGTCCTCGGTCTCATCCTCATAGTAATGGGCCAGACCATACGCTCCGTCGCCATGGTTCAAGCCGGTCGGAGTTTCAACCACATAGTCCAGTTCACGCGGTCGCGCTCTCATACACTTGTTACCACTGGTTTATACGCATGGTTACGCCATCCCTCCTATTTCGGATTCTTTTGGTGGGGATTGGGTACTCAAATGGTTTTGGGGAACTTTTATTGTTTTTGGGGATATGCGCTAGTCTTGTGGATGTTTTTCAATAGAAGGATCAAGGGGGAAGAGGCTTTGTTGATCAAGTTCTTTGGAGATGAGTACGTACAGTATAGGGAGATCTCGCGGGTGGGAATACCATTTATCTAGATTCCCAGTGGTAATGCATGCAAATCTGGAGAGTTTGGTTCATGTTGGATGTGAACAGTTGGATTGTATACTTTGTAATGCATGAGATGGTAATATATCAAATTCTGTTGTATTCCTGTATTTGGCCTTCTCCATGACAGTGTCCAAAAGGGATGGCAAGGCGTGTGACCATTGAAAGTGGACACTGGATCATAATTTATTGCATGAAATGGCCAGAATCTCATGAGTATAGTCTCCCTGCTAGCATGCTTGGGATGCACGAGACATTGGCCATAAGTCGGCGTCACTACTCCTGTATCTCCACATCTAGTTTGAATGGAATAGAGCAGTGGCGCGGGCCGAAATTGACAGTATTCAACCTGTCATTCTACCTGTATCTGGACATCGACATATTCTGTAAAATGACTGTCCAACTTCTATCTAGATAATAAAGCAAGGTACTAACATTGGCAGTGACAATCTTATTTTATGGTCTGCCTGCTGACACTCCCGTACTTGGCTTGCCATGCGAAGAAGTAAAGTAAAGCAGCGAGTGGCTGCCCAACTAAAGTGAAAGATACCCAAAAGATACAGTTTCCAATTATTTTACCATTTATGCCTCTCATTTTTTCTAATGGTGCCGTGATAGCAATGAGTGGTAGCTGTGCCATCATGCCTATAAATGCAACGCCTGGAGAGTGTTAGCAGAGATAACAGTATGTACATCAATATTCGAGAGCCTACCGATAATATTGTGTGTCGGGACGCCGACCATCAATTCATGTAGAATAGCAGAGAATGTGAACACGGCAACACTGGCTGAGTATGGACTCCAGCCTCTACCCACGAGAGGCGAGAAGACGTGTCGTTTCATGAATTGATAGACCGGCTTGTTCCAAGTTCTCCAATATGTCCCTACACTGGGTGAGTTCCACCAATCGTCATAAAAGTTTCTATCCCCGAAAGTGGTGACCTCGGCAAGAATATTCAAGAAAGATTGGAACAAGGCAAAAAATCCTGCTAGCCATATGACTAAAGAGATTGTGGATAATTTCATCAAGCGTTCGAGGATAGAGGCCACATCTAGGGATGCCATCTTGTCAAGGGAGTTCTGAAGGACAGGGGCTGCGTATTGTGCGCTAGCAACCCACATGAAGATACTCAAACCAAATACTTCTGCCATCCTCTTGCCTACAAAAACCCACCTAATTCTAGGTGTACGGGGATATACAGGTTGGTAAACCAATGTTGGAACCCACCAAAAGTATGTCAGATTATTCAGCGTGATATTCTGTGGGTAAGGGCATTTGTTGTATATTTCTGGCAATGCATCTTCCTCTTTACTCGAGGGGTGAAGGTAGGCATGTCGAAGATCGCGGCAGGTAAATGCATAGCTGTAAGTTTTCAGCCAGACAATAATTGCGTGTGCTTCAGTTATTGTGCCTATCAAAGGGTGGTGTATGAAAAAGTAGACGATCACGGAAGTAATCAGAAGACAAAGTGTTATGTTCAATCCATGTATCCAAGCGATTACTTTCCAGGTCGAATGAAATTTTTGTTGCTCGGCCTCCGTGGCAATGTAGCTGCCACCCGGCGTGGCTGTCCCGGCTCTCTTTTTGCTTCCTTTTAGTGATGCTCTTGCTTGTTGCGCGGCCGCGAGTTCGACAATGTAGGCGACAAATAGGTGGCATGGAATAATGAAGTAGAGGGCAGCCCCTAGCAAAAGATCCTGTTTGCGGTAATCGTGACATCTCAAACATATCAAAACACCATACTGTTAAACATCGTTAGCTATGTACGATACACTGCTTTCCTAGTAGAATTTCAACCAAAAAAAAAAAAGGGAAATCGGGTCTGTTGAAATATCCTCTTAAAATGTCCCAAAGAGGATTTGGGCATTCGGACAACACTCCGCGATCTTCCCAAAACTCGGTGCACCCAATTCGTTCTTCAATTGACAAAAACCAATGACTAGGAGGAAAACGAACCTTTCGAATATTCTCTAACATAAGTCGCAGATTCGAGATCAATAAGACAAGGACCATCAAGTTCCGAAATCCAAGGAAACTCGGTGCCGCATCGCTTTCATGGCTGAGGCATGATGTTCGAGGTTTGGAATGCACAGCGGCAACATGTCTATATTTCTTTTGCGAATATTTCCGAAGAGAATCGGATGTGTTATGTTGTGTGAGTGGTCTTGGTAAATCCGCGATGCTGATATTGGCCCTGTGCTTTCCGTTCGCACCATTGGCATGTGAAAGCGTAGATCGTCTGATGGTCGAAGAAATGTTTGGCACACTTTCGGAACCAGTTACCGTAGCATTTTCCGAGATCATGATTGCGACAATGGCATACAGCCGTGGTGATATTCAAGCCGTTGGTATCTCAGCATGTATCGAGAAATAATAGAGGTGTCTGGGGAATGGTGGAGAGGAGATGCCTACTCAAGTAAAGAGAAGTAAGAGAGAATCAAGGGGCAATGTGCAATGTGCGTACGGATTAAGTACCCGAGTAATTTAGATAATATGTAAAGCAGTAAAAACAGAGAGAAACTGAATGACAAATTAGATAGGAATTTATCATAGAAAATTGGCGTATGAAAGTAAATTCCTCACTGGCTAACTTAATAAACCCCCTTCCCGAGATCAATTATTGGCTGGGAATGAGGGCTACCAACTAGGCCAAAGACTAAGTAAGATATTGGGCAGTCTGCGTTGTGTAGCCCCTCCTTCAACCTACAAATTAATTTGAAACGTAAATATCAAGCTCGGCATGCAGAAGTTTTGATGTATCCGAAGAAGGAATCAATGTCCCAGATACACGAGTACCTAGGTAATTACATGTGGTGACGATGACCAATGGTAACGCAATAATGAATGATATCCACCAGGAAGCTTTCGGCCAGACTTCTTTTTCTCATCAGCCTTACGAGTTGTTGTGATAAGGATGATAGAAGGATTACTAAGCTGAATCACGGATAAATTATTATTCCCTTCCGTCAAGTCCCTTGTCGCGAATCTATCCTTGTTCATCAAAGTCAAAGTCGCGACTGCTGCCCCATTTGAACTTCTAAAAGCATGACCTCTTGATCTAGCTTTATTTATTTAAGAATTAAGCACATGATCGCAACTTAAAATCAACGGACCTCGCCGAAGAAGAAAGCAGTCGTTTGATCAAATTCTTATTGGAGGGAATGATGCGCTGATAAAAATGGCATACGAACCTCGCGAGTATGGAGGTGGTCGCGATCGGGATCGGGATAGGGAGGGAAGAGGAAGAAGAGATGATGGGGCAACCGGAGAGGGAGGCGGTAATGAAGGGAGTTTTGTGAGGGGACGAGGTCGTCGTAAGTGCAAAACCTCCATCTTTCGAGTCGATCAGAATAAGGAGAGAAAATATGCACCTCTTTGTTTCATGGAAAGTCCAATGGACTAATACTGTACAGGTCCTGTCACTGACTATAGCTCTACCATGGTTCATTGGATGCGAAATCGTCAGCCAAGGTACAAAGGTGGTTACCAAGGCGAGATGGAAAGACCTAGTCCGAGCTACATGATAGATGTAAGTGTTATTTGAGTCGACTGCAGAGGTTAAATTTAGAAATTCGCGTCTGATCATTCATAGATGTTACCACCATTAGCAAGACTTCATAATGCAGCAGATTCAGTACCTGGGAGACATCTACATTCGTCACTTAATAAGATTAAGCATCCTGTCAATGTGGTAAGGTGGACACCAGAAGGTCGACGATTGCTCACAGCCTCCAGTAGTGGAGAGTTTACTTTATGGAATGGCGCGGGCTTTAACTTCGAGACAATTATGCAAGCACATGATGTTGCTATCCGAGCCTTGTCTTATTCCCATAGTGATGACTGGTTGATATCAGCTGATCACGATGGAGTGATCAAATACTGGCAGCCCAATTTTAACAATGTCAAAGTCATTCAAGGACATGACGACCCTATAAGGGATCTCGCATTTAGTCCGAACGACTCGAAATTTGTCACGGCCTCCGATGACTCTACGCTAAAGATTTTCGATTTTGCTGGCGGTGTTGAGGAGTCCACTCTCTCTGGTCATGGATGGGATGCGAAAAGTGTTGATTGGCATCCCACTAAAGGATTACTTGTTTCTGGATCGAAAGATCATCTTGTCAAATTATGGGATCCGCGTACTGGACGATGTTTGACGACTCTTCATGGACATAAGAATACTATCACAAAAACCGTCTTTGAACCAGTTCGAGGCTACTGCTTAGCCACTTCCGCTCGAGATCAAACGGCACGAGTATTTGATTTGCGTATGATGCGCGACGTATGCTTGCTTAAGGGGCATGAAAAGGACATCTCTACCTTAGCATGGCATCCTATTCACCCTTCCCTCCTAAGTACGGGTGGTGCTGATGGGTCTCTATTCCACTACCTGTTAGACGAGCCTAATAATCCCCCTGGAACTGAACCGTCTATAGCTCCTTATGATAGCCCGGATCCTACTACTACACCGGCTCAAACTATCTATCCAGCTCACAAACTAACATACGCTCATGAGTTTGCCATTTGGTCGCTTGATTGGCATCCTCTTGGTCATATTTTAGCATCAGGGTCGAATGATAGAATCACTCGCTTTTGGACACGTGTGCGTCCTGGTGATATTGATACATTCAAAGACCGCTATCACATTGGCGACTCGGCTGCCGAGGCGCAAGGAACCTATGATCGTCGCGGCGGGCGACGTCAACGTCAAGAGGAGGAAGATCAAGAAGCTGAAGACGAAATGGAGGGCTTAGTCGATCAGAAAATGCCTGCAAAGCTACCCGGTTTCGCCACAGGAATACCTGGTCTGCCATTACCTGGTATGGGAGTCATTCCTGGTATGAATCGTGTTCCTCCTCCACCTCCTCCTATGCTCAGTGGAGGAAATATTCCACCGCCACCTTTACCGGGAAATTTAGACGCAAATACTCTAGCACTTATGATGAAAGCCGGTTTACCTCCTCCCGGAGCAACGGGCATGCCACCTCCACCGCCGATGCTCCCGCCGAACTTTCAGCTTCCACCTGGTTTCGTTGTTCCCCCACCTCCTCCTGGTATGCCAATGCCTGGATTGGAAAATGCAGATTTATCGAGTAATGGTGGTGGTATCAGAAAACGAGGACCATTACCTAGTCAGGAAGAAAGTTTACAGGCGATGCAGAGACAGGGGAAATTCAGGCCACCACGATAAAGAGCCGTTGGTACTAGTGTGGAGGAGCTTCGGATTGTATATCAGAACAAAGCATTTCAGGTGAACTGAAGCATCAGGCGTTTGGGTGGATTGTAATCTAGTTGTGATGAGCTTCGCAAATTATCCCTATTCACGTATGTACACATGTGGAAATGAGCAACTGTGTTCTGGGAAAAAAATTGAATTTACTTGATGATTGAAGAGCAATAATGCCATGGTATATAAATCGCAACAAATGTAGAAAAGGCAGGAGAACGCCATGTCAAGATGCAACCCCATTAAGAATACCCGCCGATAATGCTATATATATATGCTGCAAAACCTCGCCCATTACATGCAAAAAGCAATTTCCGAACGTGATGAATCAAGAAGAATGTCTCGGGCTCGTCCTCGTTGGTGCTTGAATTTGTTTGCTCTCACCACCCTTTGCAAACGCCTTCTGCCTATCCGAGTAGTCCTTAATGACTAACGCACACATCATATCATCGCACAATCTCTTCCTCCTTTGAGGCGGCAACTTCGTCATGAACTCCAACCCACTAGCTCTCTCCACCATCTCAACCGGTACCTCAAAATCCGTCAACGGCTTCTCATTCGGTATCCTCGCATTAGGCAATACGAATGCACCAACTGCTACTGGACCCGCCGTAGTACCATCTTCCGCAAATATAACCTTGTAGAAATGTGTCGGCACAGCGATGTTGGGTGGATTCCCAATAACCTCATAAGTCACCCTCCATTTCCCATCCGCCGGATCTCGTTTCGGTAAATATAAAGGTCCAGTAACAATTCTAACACTCGGATATCGAGTCGTAAGTCTACGGCAGAAATCCTCAAAATGCGCCCAATAATCGCGGTTAAATCCTTCTCCTACTTGCGGGCACATGTTTGTGAGGAAAAAAGTATCGTTCATGGCATCTTGACTCCATTTTGCGTCTGCCGCAGGAACTTGGTGACCGCGATCGTAGCCAGAGTGGAGGTAATCTTTTAATTTACCACGGAATTTTTCAGGGACAGCGGGGTCTTCGACAAAGTAGGAGTGTTTGCGATCGCCATTGGAGACGGCGAGGGATGCAGGCGTTATATGTTCCGCAACCCAAGAAGGATTTCGAAGTCTTCGGTCGAATGAAGATATTAACGCATTTCTAGTGGCCAGATCTGCGACTGGACCAGGGAATCCATATTGAAATAGACCTGCGGGGTCAACGGGCGCTATTATATCTTTGCTTATGGTTTGACCGACTGTTATAGGCAGTGATGCGTTTGCCGAATTAGATGATGCTGTGACTGCTGTTGAGCTTGCTGCTGCTTGAAGTTTTTTTTCAGATCGTGTAGAATACATGGCGGCGGTTATACCGGGCACCTGTGGCTGCGGAAACTCCTGCGATGATAGCGAATGTAGTTTTGGACATGACAGTGGGAATCGAGCCTCTACGGGAGCTCGAACCGGACGGGATAGGATGGGGCTTTATGGATTGAAGGAAAGGAAAGTGTGTGACACTATGATCACAGTGTTGATATTTGCGCGTGAGCTTTTTTATTTTAGAACGGGGTTTCGCGTGGATGTCAGTTGAACTTTCTTGACGAGTCTCGGAAAAACCTGAGTTTTTCCGGGATCAGGACTACAACGGCGATGAGTGGTTGGATGTATTTGTTTCTGTTGTAAAGCCATGCGACATCTTTTTGTCTAACTTGTCTATAATACATTATTGCAAGTCCACGATACAATACTAGTGGTACTAGGTACTGCGACGGAGCAAAATTGGTTCTGTGCAGCCAAGATAACATCTTCCATTTTCACCAACTGCTTCTGCCTTGGTGGATGGTTTTCTCGACGGCGGAACAGCTCCAACTACAAGCCAATCTTTGTTCAAATTTTGGGGCTCAAAGTCCTCCGCCCGAATTCTTTAGGATGGGTTCAAATCTGATGGTATGGCATGGTCAGCACTCTATACGAAGCACTCGTGATTAGAAAGGCAAAGAACATAGACTTAGAGGCCTCCATAGTACGGAACTCTGATGTCATTATTAGCTAATGTGTCGGCAAACAATCTTCTAATTGAAGAAAGAGGATCCGTGATTGTTTCAAGCTCCTTTCAGTTTTACCGGCCTCATACTTTGGGGATGGAGTGCAGATTAGGAGACCAGCAGGTCTACTGATCTCGAAGACAAGTTGCTGCAGCATAATCTCGTGGGAAGTGTCAAGATCATCTACCAGCGTGTTGCGGCCTATCAAGATCCGACTCATTTGATGACTCATGTCACCGCATACAATTGTCATAACTTGACGCTTGGTAACCCCGAGGTCGCTCTTGTTGTACAATGGGTTCTTGAGACAGATTTTGAAGTCGTCCTTTGTTTTCCATTTGTTGGAGTCGATCCAGCTATCTCGAATTGATAAAAAGGCTACGTGCTGAGTGGACATCTCGACTTCTTATATACTACGGGATTGTTGCTCATGCCCCAAGTATTACCTCCGATACAACAATTCTTTTGATATCGCACAATGTTTTGGTGAAAACTTGTTCGACAGTATCTGCATTTGGTTGTGCATTTTCGCTCGTCTTCCAGAATTTCTCGCCCTTCTCTCTTATTTCTGGGGTTAGTGTATGTGCTACTTTCAAGGCACTACAGAATGCGAGTGGAAGAACGAAAAGTCTGGTGGGAACATACTCTAGTGCCATTCTTATTGCTAGATTGTATGGGTTCTTTCCAGTTTTACCATCCTTCGCCACTAAACAAGCGATTGACATAGCCATCGCAACTTCCAAGACCGAGGCAAATGGCAGGGAAGTTAATCGGCCGAAGAAGCTCGCCCTGCCAACTATTGATCTGTTTTATCTTCGTTCTTCATGTCTTTGAGTGCCTCATAGTAAAGTGGAGCTTGAATAATGGTATCGACAGGATCTTGAATTTTCAACCCGACTTGAAGGTGCAAGTGTGCGTTTGAAGTTGCCATGTTCCTGATGTCTGGATTCAGGTCTGACAACGATGCTGTCAAGGACCGAATGAGTGTCTAGAGGCGAGTATCTTTCAAAGCCAGAGGTACAGTTGTGAAATATCGGTTGAATGTTCGAACCGTAGCTGGATACCTATTGAGGGTAGTTTGTATGATGCGAAGTCGAACGATAGGACGGGAATCTGCTGTGTGATATCCAAGGATGACGCTGGGGTGTATAATATGGAACCGAATAAGGGTATTTGAGATATATAGAATGTATGTATTTAGGTTGTTGAAGAAATGAGTAAGACCAAAAAGGGAGACGGAAATCCAAATCAATCTATGCACTCCTGGAGGCAAGCTAAAGCTCTCAGCATGTGTCATTTTGGGACGTCTCGAGTCGCCGAGAATATGTCTTGTGCTATTCACTTCAGTAGGATTGTACGCTTGTAGGCCAAACCAATTTGGTGACATGGCTCATACTCACGCGGTTGAAGCATTGAACTGAGCTATTTTGATGATAAACTTGAGATGAGAAAGGTAAACTTTACATGCTGAAAGTCTTTTCCCCCGAGGACTTCATCTAGAAAGCCGTATCTCTATACTGGTTGAGAAGCTAAATATTTGGTCATGCTGGATGTTGGATGCCGGAGCAATCTGTCTATGCATGTAGGTTCTGCTAGAACTTCAAACTTTCTTTTATTCAGTATACAATTCGATTCTACATTTGACCAGAGTATTATAAAGCGATCTTTTAAGAATAATACTCGTCTAATTCATCTCTAATGTCTATACTAGCTCAAAAATGGCCGAGTAACTTTTTAGAACACTAGATGATGTAAGTCTAGTACCCTACTTTCCGGCCACCCCTAATTCCGGCCACTTTTCCTCACCAAAAATGACAAAAATCGACTTTTATAACTTTCTTATTTATGAATATAATTATTTGAAATCTCAATTACGAATTTTTTTATTTATATAATTATACATTCTGAATATTTCAGATTTTTCGCGATTTTATTGGTTGAGAAATTAAAAGTTGAAATTACGATTTTCAATTTGTATAGGATTTATATGTTACGCCTGGTAACAGGAAACTCTCACGTGTAATCAATATCACGTGACTGGCTCAGTAAGGATCAGTGAGCTCAGTACTGAGCCGCATTGATCCTACTGAGTAGCCATAGACACGAAAGTCTATATAATCTAGATGGATTTCCTTTGTATAAAGCTTCGTGCCCAAGATCAATCATTTAGTATACTCTACTATTAGTTACGAATTGCATATCATTATTGTCATTACTTTAAGTCCCTGCTTGACGCCTAGTTATAAACCTACTTCGAGAGCCTAGAGCACTTCCACGTGATCTAGACGGCAAACCTCGTAACACCTTAATCCACAACTACCAACCAGACGAAACCTCAGGCAGCCGCTGCCCCAGTACAGTATCGTTACAATGAATCATATAAATTAAAAATCGTAATTTCAATCATTTATATTTCAATCAATAAAATTACAAAAAATCTGAAAATTTTATGATTTATTACTATCTATATAAAAAATCTATAATTCAAATTTTATCAAATTATATTCATCAATTGTAAAGTTATTAACAGATGAAAATCACGATTTTTTGGTATAAAAGGTGGCCGGAATTAGGGGTGGCCGGAAAGTAGGGTACTAGACTTATAATTTATCATGGCTGTGGCGCCTCACACCTCCGGGTCACGTGGCATGCCCCGTTTGTATTTAATCACAGGAAAACTCTCTACTTGTTAAGGGATGCGAAGACTCAACACCTGTACGCGGTGCATCCTACGAACCTCCAGCTCTCTTATGAGAGTCTGCAGAGCTAAGTTTGAGTTATTTGATGGAGTCGTGGTAATTGGAAGAGGAAGAGGCGCCCGATCACGACGTTTTTACCCGTTTGCGGTTTTTTGACAGTTGCATTATCGAAATGCGCTCTCTACAACACTACCTTTATTACGAAACAGAGGACAACACCATCATCTACGACAATACGCCACGAAATCATCTCACTTCTTAAAAGTGAGACTCCTCTGGAACATATAGTACAACTCGACATCTTTGACGCGTATATGTTATATATTGTATACCTCCCATGATCGACACGACTGAAACGACAACAATTTATATACCTTCCATACGGGAACACCGGAGGAGTACTGTTGAAGGACCTGAGCTGATGACGAAACTTACTCTGCTCTCATTCAGCGGAGGTATGCTACTTACGGAATCGGGACACCCGTACAAGCCACTACCTGTGCATGCTATAGTTACGCTATATGAGGATTGGTGCTCCTTCATAAGCTTTCTATTGGCAGGATGATCAGAATGAGGACGAGGCAATCCTGACGGTGGGCGATTACAGTACGTTCTGGTATATAAGGAGTAATTGGATTGATGGTATCGGGAAGGGGATCAGGGATGAAGGGTTTTCGAGTACAATGTTTTAATAGTATGAGGGGAAGGGAGAGAGATCAAGAGCCAGTGATCTAGTGGACGAGGATGACCACAATTACAACCCCAAAAGGCCTACCGGCCCAAACCCCCCCTGCGAAGGCAATCATGTAAATCCTGCCCTAGCCCCCTTTAAATTGTATATAAATACTCCCCCTAGCTAGCTAGTAAACCACTCAGAGGCTTCTCCTCTGAGCGTCATTTGTCCAAAACTGGAATAGATGGCTAAGGTTATCACGCGCCAAGGCGCGTGGGCCTACGGCCTATGACGATAAACACAATCAATCAATCAATCTCTACTTGTTAAAAGGAATAGAAGTTACCGGTCCTAATCACGTGTCGTGATTAGTAATACGGTTACCTAAACAGGCTAGATTAGACGAACCATAAGCAGGCATATTGGTCCCCTCAGAGGATACTAAGAGGAGATTAATATGCCTACACACGTAGTAATATAGCCAATATAGAGGCCTCTTCCACCCAATCTTTTAATACTACTCTTGTTTTCCTTCTTCTTTTCTCCTTAGCTTAGTATTTTCTAATACAAGATACTTTACCCAGTATTCTTGAGTGTGACAATGGCCTTGGCAGAATATTAGAGGATATATGTTCAGTCATGGCTTTGGTAGGATATTACTAGATCATTTTTTAGATTAGATAGATATTGAAGTATTATTTTACCATTTAGATTCAGACATTGGGACACCTTCCTCCACATTAGATTTGATATAGAGACTTTGTAATTACTCGAGTAAATGAAGGACTATCATCTCTTGAACATGAACTAGAATAATAAAGGCTAAATATGGATCATTTATATACATTCCCAAAATGCAAAGCCTTCACCTTAATACTTTGAGTCAAAAGTTTATATCGAACGCATTATCTAAAATTAGAATAACCTTATCTTTAAGAGATTCTCGTCTAATATGGAAGGAAAGCTAGCTTACTTTACGCCTAGAAATGGAATTTGGAAATAAAAAGAAAAGTTAGACATGCAACAAATATGTTTCAGTGGGTTCAAGTTGGAGGCATTCATTACATCACTGTACATGACGTACATGACGTACATGACGTACATGACATACTCGAGTACTGGAAGTTTGCTCGTGCTACATTCCACTTTTATTAATCTACGGAGTACAGTACCGGTAGTCGATCGAGTAAGGTACCAACAGTTGTAATCTCACCATGAGAATGTGTGTGCCTATGTGTGTGCCTATGCATGAGAGCCATAAATATTAGGTATCTACATTTGAGCAGAGAAAAAAGAATTACTCGAGGAGGTGTCGAAGGGATGACAACATGTGACTGACTGATATGAACAATGAGGCGGTGTAGTGGATCAAAATAGCCTGGCTAAGCGCCTTGCAGATAAATGAGGACCTTGATGGGTAAAAGTACTAGGTAGTAAAAAAAGGCTTCTTTCTCTTTCAACGGATGGCGAATGAAAATTGAAGGATTTCTTTGAAGTTTCTGTGCCACCATCCAGAAAAATGGATGAATGCATTTTTACTACCACTATAGTACATATCTACTATCTAGTATCTACCTGCTATTTCAATTCGGGTCTTTCTTCCATCCATCAAGGTTCATGCCAACTACTACTCGAGTAGGTAGGGTAGGTGAATTTTGATTTTTTCTTTCTTTAGCTTAATAATATAATGTTATTAGTAATTCTAACATATAACTGTTGATATTATCTATACCTAGCATGTATTGTTGTCGTCGTTATTGCATTACAGATAGAGCATTCAACTAATCAACCACTCATTCATTCATTTATCCCTTTCTACAGCCTCGAAGACCTGTGAATATTTGTCTATCCTCCTTTGATCCTTCCTACAGCAGATAGCTTGCTCTGCCTTTTCTCTCTTCCCCTTTTTAAATTCACCTAAAATCCTCATTTGCTTCTTGTTTCTTCCTTCTCGCTCCATCGACCTATCCTTATTTTACCTCCGAACGGTATTTCAACCCGCATCTGCATCAACTCCCAATCTACATTTACACCTCAGAAGCATACCTGCAACAATACTTGCATTACGGCCTGAGATAACCTGCGACGACAGACAATCTGCGACAACTTACACTATCAGGTTTCAACCTTGGTCAACCTCGTGCCACTTTGCCCTTGTATTTGATACATCTATGCATCACCAGTTGTATATCAACCACCCGGTCAGAACTTTGAGGAAACAGAGTATATCTTTGTAAAGTTGGTAGCACAATATTATCAGTATGGAGGCAGACTCATTGGATAATGATACAAGGGGGTGGATCATGGCCGTAATTAGTGGAATAGGTCAGTACTATACTCGAATGATCCATAGGCTGATGTTCAGTCTCTAACAATAATCTGCAGCATGTGTAATTGGTAGTTGCATAATCTGCATAGATATATTGATAAGATATATCCCCAGCAAGAAGAATTTCAGCATACAGGATAGCAATGCTTTCCTGGCTGCCTCTTTAAGCTTGAGTTTTGGTGTAATGGTAAGTTACCTCCCTCGCATTTTGCGCCAATCATTTACTAATTCTTTTCTATATAGATCTTCTCCTCATTATATAGTATGCTTCCATCATCAAAAAAATACCTTATTGAGGGTGGTTATACAGCACATGCCGCTGCGTGGATTCTTTTGGCCTGTTTCGCCGCGGGATTTATTGGTATACAATTTGTTTCGAGGCTCATGCACCACTTTATCCCATCGCATGTCTCACACTGCGATCACTCTCATGAGCCCAATGCAACACATCACGACCAAAGTAACCATCTTGAAGGCCTCGACGGTCACCATGACCACAGCCTTCCACTCTCAAAATCGAGTTCTCATGTAGCAGTTCCTCAAGCGAACAATACGATGACCGAATCTACACCACTTCTTATGCCAAGTACAGAAGAAAATGGAAAGTGCCTGCCCAAAGGTCTTGCGTTAATAAATTCAGATTCCCAGCCGAACAATCGTCGTCAATCCGCAACTTCCAGCAGACGACCGTCACTGATGGAAGTTCAAGCCAGGGTCATGTCTTTTGTGAAGGATAGAAAGGCTAATTGTGACGAGAGTGGGCCATGTTTTGGATTTTCTGACCTCTGTGGACGAGAGTGCTTAAGAACTCCCATCAATACAAGACCTCCTTACACGGCACGAACTCCAACCGGCACTCTATCAACTCGATCTCATCCTTTCACACTACCGGAAGAAGGAGAAGAGAGTCGGGACAATTCAACACGATCTCACGAGGAAACGGAAATGGCCAGTTGTCAAGACTCTGACGTTGAAGCACAACAACATCATCATCATGTCCCCGAAAATGCCTTTATGGATATTGGTCTCCAAACAAGTATAGCCATTGGATTGCATAAGTTGCCAGAAGGTTTCATTACATTTGCTACCAATCATGCAAACCCCGAACTTGGAGTTTCTGTATTTCTAGCCTTACTCGTTCACAACATCACTGAAGGATTTGCAATGGCTCTTCCATTGTATCTAGCACTTGGTAGCCGACCTCGAGCTATCTTCTGGAGTTCTCTCTTTGGCGGCGTTTCACAACCAGCAGGTGCCGGCATTGCAGCTGCATGGTTTTCGATTTCTGGGCGAGAGGGCCATGCGCCTAATATTGTGGTTTATGGGTGCATGTTTGGTGTCACGGGAGGTATTATGGCAAGTGTTGCATTGCATCTTTTTGCTGAGTGCGTGGGTATGAATCATAACAGGAGTTTGTGCATTTCTTTTGCATTTGTTGGGATGGCGTTGATGGCTATGAGCAATGCTCTTACCTCTGAATAAGGAAATGAGGGAATAAGACTGAAAGATGATACGCATTACGAATAGACGATTGGCGTTTTAATAGGATATCATACCATGGGATAGGGCCTTTTTGGAGGGTTTTTGGTGGGTTTTGATGGATTATTTTTTAACATTAGGGATGTATTCTTATCCAAACTCTGAAGTTTGAAATTAGTTGGCTAGGGCAGCAAGGTTGGAAATAGCTCACGCTTGATTAGAATGAATATACCGCAATTGTATTGCAGCAAATTGAGCTGCATTCAAATTATCTTCTTGATCGTTCTTATCTTACTGTTGTGAGGATCTAGCGGAGTCCAATTTGTTATTAAGGGTATATATACCATGAGGCAAGCCAGAGGCAGTGGGAATGTCACTACGAGAGTGGTGCACTCAAAGAGCATCGTTACCACTTCCCTCCATTAAATCGATTATATATCAGTCGAGTAGCACATAGAAACGATGCGTATTTAGGCATAGCATGGTACATCAGCCTGGGTTTAGTTACGCACCTAGTACTGGTATACTCTTATTTATACAGAATAATGAGCGAGATGGTTCTTACCCATTCAAATTTTAACCCTAAGAACCTTTCTACTTTTGTAATTTTTTGATGGTTTTTTGTTTTTACTTTTTACTTTTTTTTTTGTTGTTATGTTATCATGATGATGTATGTATAAATGCTATTATGATACAGTAGTAATAGTGGCAGTATAAGTATAAATAACTATATAAGGGATAGAAGTTAACTAGGTATCTACTATCTAGATAGTATAGAAGAAAGCGGGATGGGATGAGATTGTAGGAGGAGGAAGGGTTTGAAGATTTGGGGAGAGAATATATGTGTGTGTTTGTTGGTATTGGTATTGGAGTTTAGAAGTTAATGGATTAGGGATGTGGATCATCAGATTGGAGTTGGAGTTGCAATTAGTTCGAGGGGATGTAGAATATTATGTATTAGGTAGGCGCACCGGTAGCTGGTTTGCTAGGAGAAGATGTGTTATAATTATGTAGAGATATTAGATTGGATTCATGGAGAGATGTTAAATTGGACTAATGGGGAGATTGGGGGTGTGTACATCTGCAGCGATTTCTATCACAATAGAATAGACTGATGGAGCAATCCGATCTTAATTCTGATTAGCTACCTACCTATCTACCTAGCTGCCTAGACATTAGATACATTTTTCCACATGTTCAGCTACCGTTAGTCCCCCTGAATATCTCGCTTAGGCCACCCACTCACTCACTCACTCACTCACTCACTCCACATCTATGCAAAGCATCTTAATTATCACATATCAATACCAATATCACTTACAAATAAACATAAATATCATGTCGCAATCAAAAATATCCTAGAGAATAAGACAGGGCTACGATTCCTTTCCATCGGAATTACTCTAATCAAATATTGATTTTTTTGTCTTTCTTTTCCTTGGTATACACTACACACTGTTTTGAAATCCTTTCCCCATCTTCAGGTTTTCCATCGACTCCTTTTTCCAGTTTCCCTTCCATCCATTTATCGATAGAATGTGAGTAAAAAGCCGATGTTCATCAGCATCTTTCATCTCCCTTCAAATTTCGGATTTGAATCCCTCGTCCATCGCTTCTCGATTCCCAAATTTTTTATGTCCATTTCGCTCACTTTCCCACTTGAATATTCGAATCTACTTGGATATGAACGCTCAGCTCCTCACCTAATCATTTAATATCGATGACATCTCCTCTGCTGGGTCCTCCTAGCCGCGTATGCAGACGTATGCACCA